CTCAAACAGTTATCAGAAAAGGTAAAAACATTGAATTCCTTTGACCCTCCCATAAGTTAAAATGCTTCAAAGAAATAATTGGTTGTATGATCATAAATAATTCATAAAAGGTGTTTGAGCACCTACGTGAGGCAGCTAGTTTGCCTGATCTGGACCTTTCTCCACGAACAATTCAACTGGACTTCTTGATTTTACATAATGAATATTTCACTACTTGATATTCATTATTTATGGTAACATGGATTAGCTAATAGCGCATTGCCGAGAGAACAACATTCATACGATCACTAAACCATGCCCATTGCCAGTTGAGCCACACCATTTTCAACTCTGTTTTTCTTACTGTGGCTTTCCCGGGCGGTAACCAACAGCGGGACATTGGAAAGGGTTGATGCCCATCACATGTCGTTATTTGCATTAAAGTGTAGCAACAGTGTAGGCTTTTCGGATTTTCTAATGCCTGGATGGTACAGTGACCTATCCAGTTTGATGTTATCTGTGTGTTGTTTTACCATGTTTAATCATGTCATGTAAAAATATGATGTTTATTACATGTATATGATGTTGAAACCATACATTTGATTTATTTGAATTCGTAAACTAAACACCCACTTTGCTATTACTTGAAAAATCTGAAAATTTACTTATGTAAATACGTATATACAATTTTTAACTTACGGACACAGCAAATGTTTATATGTATTTCTTATATCACAATGAAGTTCCATTCGTATCCTCCAAACATTGTCGGCCGATAGGTTTTTAGCCAACTAAAATTGCATGCAATACAGCGATTGCTACACCCTTTGTTGTAAACCGTGTTTGGTGGTATAAACCTACACATGTTATTTGTCATCATTCACTTGATGGTCACTATTTCGCATATTACACTGTAAAAAGACACACGGCATGGAACAGACATTGTTGCTATAACTTTAGTATGTTTTAAGTTTAATATTTAAAATTTTTCTCTTTATCATTTGTGGTGACATTCAACAGAATCATTTGTTTTCGCTGTGAAGTGTAATGCGACAGACAACACACACGTACTAAGTCGCACTTACGGCATGTGTGAAATATGATTCACGGCATGTGTGAAATATGATTCACGTTGACAATCAATAAAATGTGTAGATATTACAGTCACGTTATTAATTCACGATAAGTATAAGCAGGTCGTATGCTTTTTTATTAAGTTTCAAAATGCATACAAATACAATGATAATAAACTAATTAGAATTATAAGACAAAATATAAAGCCGTACATTGACTTTGTAATTTTTCAGTCCTAACAGTTTTTACCACTGGCAGATGGTTAATCTTCAAAATTCTTGGATGTGTTATCATACAAATGAAGATGGAAATATTATCGAGTAAAAAAGATTCATTTTTGCTGATCATTCTATACTTATACTATCAAATGCGCATGCGGGTGGCGCAGCAGAGGTCACGAACTAGACAAGAACTCTGAGATATCATCCAAGTACTCACGGGAGGAAACAATAAAAAACAACAACCAATCAACGGAAATTGCTCTGGATCAGTGTTCCTTTACCTATTCAGTCGGTGAAGAAAGGTGGTGAGCTGTGGTACTTCTCACTGAATAAACCAGGCATGTCAATTATAACAGAAAAGGATTCTTTTTACTCTTTAACTCCAGGTATGAGGAATGAAGACCTCGGATAACAGGGGCATCAGCACGATCACGTACATAGCCAATGACTCAGATCTGTTCTCATTAAGGAGGGGTTCTAGACGGTGGTCCAAAATAGGCATGACATACTGGTGATCCATAATAGTGTTTTGTTTCTGAGTAGTGACAATTTCTCTGTTTCTACGACCACTTGTCTTCTTTCTCCGTTCATGGAGTCTTCAATAGTGGCCTCTGGACATCAAGTGTAGCTACAATTTGGGATATCAGGCAAGACGGGTAAATTGTCCTCGTTTATATTTTGGTCAGTGTTACAAGTCGCATACTTACAGTGTATGAGAAGAGGCCACAGGCACAGCAACAGGCAATCCAAGTCAAACACTTCAGTCTAATGATGTTCTAAATCTCGACATCTGGCGATGTTTTCAGTGTTGACGACCATGACGCATCATTTACAGAAACTAGTTTTTCATCAGCTGAAGTTTGATTCGTGCTAATTAGTTGACCTGAAATGCAAATAGATCTGATCTTGGGATTCAGTTGTCAGTGCAATGTTTAGGGAAAACACGCACATCAAATATTTGAAATGCACTTTCAAATATATACAGATAATCACATTTCAAACTGAATCTGAAATGGCACACTGTGACATCGTATGAACTGACCTTTGTGAGTTATCCATTTCATGTCCTTTTAGACTTTGTGTGACATCATTAGCTCTTTATCATGTCCTTTTATACTTTTTTGTGACATAATTAGCTCTTTATCGTGTCCTCTTAGAATCAGTGTGACATTATCTGCTCTTTATCATGGTCTTCTAGAATTAGTGTGACATCATTATCGCTTTATCATGTCCTAGATTTGGTGTGGCATCATTAGTTCTTTATCATGTCCTTCTGGAATTAGCGTGACGTCATTAGCTCATTACCGTGTCCTCCTAGATTAAGTGTGACATCATTGTCGCTTTATCGTGTCTATCTAGTGACTCTTTACAGATACATACAGTTATCTTGACCGGAACGCCCATTTAACCTCATCTCACTTTTTCGTGGTATTATTAGCTCTTTGTCATGTCCTTCTAAACTTTGTATGATATCCTTAGTTCTTTGTCATATACTTGTTTTATCATTAACTGTTTAGCATATATTTTTAGACTCCGTATGCCTCCTTATGTAAAGGGTGGGGTGGTTGGGGTGATATAGTAAACCGGGGTATAAGGCTACACACAAGCGTATTTTAGCGACATGGAGAACAATCTTAGTGTAACGCAGATGTTTAGTGAATGTTTAATTAATTTTTAACCATTAATGTTTTCTATTCTAAGAGAGAAAAATCGATTTTGAGCTTTCTGAGATTACGAATCCTTAAATGCACACATTTATGATGACACCGCAGGAACTGTATTCTTAACAGAAGGATATTTCCTTATGAGTGAATCTGCAAGCTGTGCCTCGCCATAAATACATCACACGTTATGTTTTAATCTATTCCTTCTAGCAGGATCTAATATTAGTGGAGTGCCACTGTCTCCGATTCACCATTAAACTCAATTATGAGAACAATTATGAGAATGTATTTAGCCCAGCTGTCTATGACACACATGTGTTTTCTTTCTTATGTGTTCCTGTGTTTTTCAACTTCATGTCGCATGTTGGTTGGCATTCTGGTTTAATTCTTGTTTGACTTATCATAGAAAATGACTTTCTCTTATCCTCCATTACATACAGAGCTTATGTTGTGTAGATGTTGCACGCTAACGAGCCAGTACTAGTAATGCAATCTTATTACCGAACCAATGAAATAAATGCTAATTTCTGTTAATATGGTAACAATCGATTTACCAGTGACCTAACATTTAAATCTAAAACTTGGTCATGCACGATTTCAAGGGTATTTAAACCTCTGTCAAAAATGAACAAGATTTGCAATTATAGCAGAGGTGTATATAATATACTGAGAGAAACAAATAAGGGAACACAGGAAAATTGCTTTAACAGTTCCAGTTTTCATCACTAGCTTTGAATAACCCTGTGGGGAATCTAAAAATAAATAAAGGAACACAGCACTGAAGTGGTGTTCCCTTATTTGTTTCCTTCAGTATATATGAAAATGATGGTCACATTTACACACCTTTGTCATATTTGTTCACAGTCTCCCACATGCTATTTTATTTCATGACCTGTGGAACAAATGCAAGTACGGCGGCCAAATGATACGTACATTTCAAACGTTGGTCATAGGTCATATCGGCCTCGTCTATTTCCTCACATGGTTCAATTAAGGAAATAATGTGCCTTCGTCTAGTGATAGTAACCACAACACCTATTGTACGATGTATGATGCGCTGTCTAGTGAATGTGGACGGACATGCACTAGAATTCATTACCTCATCAAGGAATGTCACTTTGACAACAACCGTTTTCAGAATAATATTATGCACAGTTTGTGGCTCATCCGAAAGAAGGTGGCTGGGTTAAACACACAAATCCCGTCAATCAGATTGAGTTGGAGAATGGGGATTTATGACAAGACCCCGACCCGTTGGTGTGAATTAAAATAGGATATCCGGCTCCCGGCGACCGTCTGATTCATGTCCAGCGGTTGCATTGTCTCATTGGTAGTTTCTGGATGGCATCAGCAGGAGGACTGACTACTAAAGTACTGTCGGAAATAGAAAAAAACTCAACATTTTTTAGGCTATTACTCTGTATCCCTAAAATTTACACAATTGCAAATAGCATATGTCGAAATAACCCACACCGTCCGAACTGGACGTTCAGTGGGATGCGTAATAGGATATCCAGAAAAGCATGTTTACTCGTAAAATCGGGCTAACTTAGAAAAAATACGAATAGCTGCTGAAAACAATAGATCAGACTATAGACGGCAATTAGGTCGCTCAGCCAGGTATGACGACGGACCATCGACTCACCTGACATGAAATGCACGTGCTGCCTACAGGCACAAGGGGTCATCTCAAAGATATTTGATGCCTTTTCTTGTGTGTTGAATATGTCGCATCTATTGATTAACATCTTAGGTGTATTTCTTTCATAAAATTTATGTTCAGATATGTAAAGAGAGTATGACTACTAATTAGATTTCCGTTGTACGAAGGATCTTTTACACGTTCTTTCCTCGTAGCACTTGCACGAGATTCCCTATATTGACTTTGACTATCTGTCAAGTTCGCAAACGTAAATCTTACTTGTGCAAAGACTGGCCTGTCTTGTTTTCTTCTAGCTGTTCTGCAACAATAGACATTCTCAAAAGAAGCTGTTGTTTGGTGATGACGCACCTGGTTGTGACGAATATCCGATTGCTGTTGAACAACACAGGTGACCTTTGAAGATACAGATCCTTTATAAAGGCAGCCCAACGACAACGAGTCTCTGACAGGACACAAGAACACCAACATGAACACATTTATCATTTTGACTATTTTGATTACTCTGCCTGCATTCTCGCTGCAACAAAATGGTAAGTAATTAAATATGTATGTGGATAGAGGTTTTAAAAGATCATTTTAATTTAATAAATTTCTCTTAAATTAACGTTTTTCTGCTTTAGTACTCGCTAACGAAGGGTTGTTGGGCATAAATTGATGCATCATCGACTCAAGAAGCAAGATACCTTACAATGGCATGGACATCTCTTATATTGAATTACGGAACATGCTCTGGACATGGTGTTAAGGCAACGATCCCATTGTGCCAACGAGAAAACCTTCAATGTTCAATCATGTCTAAATATGTGTTCTTTTTGTTTAATCTGAAGTTCCTGCAAATGCATGCAACCTTTGCAGCAATAAGTACTAGTGCCTGGTTTACTAACGACTAATTTTTTTTCAGGTGTTTATCCTTTTTGTAACTCATTCTGTAGCCTGATCAGAAGATGCTCAACTCTCCAGTCTTACTGTAGAAATTCCTATGTGGTCTCACTATCGCGATCATGCGGTTGTCCAGGTGAATATGTCCTTTCAATGTCATTTTTAAGAACGTTTAGAGCTTACTGTTCAGTTTGAAAAGACAACGTTGATTGATTGATTCATTCATTCAACCATCCATTTATTTATTTGTTTATATATTTGGTTAAAGTATTCTTTGCCTTGAGTTTCTTATCGAGACGGATAGAACCTTAATAGGTGTATGGATATTTTACACATAGACATAGAGTACATAGACGTGTGATTAAACTGAGGTTATCTTTTTCCCATTCAACAGGAAGGGATTATATATTGAGTGATAGATAAAGGCATTTCTTACACTAATGGTATTTATGTTAGCCTTATGAATTCTTTTGCCGAAAATAGAAATCTTAGTCCCTTAGCTTGATTTATATAAAACAAGATAGAGTATTCTCATTACAGTAGGAAGGTTAATAAAGATGAAACTAAATCCAAGCACCATCGTGATGTTACAGCGATGACTATGTCTGATATTAGGAAAGGGTCGATTAATTCAAACAAGCCTTTAATTCTTCCTCCCTTAGAGCGGAGATTATTGGTCAAGGGTTAAAACTTTGCCTCTTAGATGTCATGATCGGACAACAATTTGCCATGCCTGTCCCTGGTGGAATAACTTTGCCACCAACGCGTTTTTGTGACGGACTGCCATTCTGTTGTTTTACAGTAAGTACTGGGAATGGCGATCTCAACAGAACAACTCCACTACTACTACTACTACAACAACGACAACGACAACGACGACAACAACCCGGGCGCCTTTTGTCAACAACCGTAAATCATGCTTTTTGCTTTATAAACAAAGTTATAAAGTATAATATAATAGTTTGAATAATATGATGGAATATCGTCAACTCAAATCTCTGAACTATTAACTCGGTGCACATCGATCGATTACTTATTTTAATGATCTAGGTATGTTCCCGATAAATCGATATATATTCTATTTCCATATATTTTCAATGTAGCAAGCTTTTATAGATTTTCTTAAACCTTGATAATTTACAGAAAGGTAAATATATGTTTGTAGAATGCGGCTTAAGTGGAATTGCAAATCCTCAAGTGTTCGTGGATTCTTTGCCCCGCATTGTGGGTGGCTATGACGCTGTAGAGACATATTTCCCTTATCAAGTACTAGTCAGACCTGGAAGGGCCCGTTGTGGTGGCACCATCGTTGGAAGAGACACCGTCATCACGGCTGCACATTGTGTGAGGTAAGTAATGTTCTACATTCATAAAATGGTGTTTTGCGATGGAGGAAGAGGTCCCTTTGTTGATATACAACTACAGAAAGACAGAAATGAGCAAATCCTTGTCCAAATGTGATTGTTCATAGATTCATAAATGTGTGTTAAAGTATATTCTACCCATGAAGATCCTGGTTAGAATTGGTTCTCAGCAACCCATGATTGTCCTAAGAGGCGACTAACGGGATCAGGTGGTCAGGCTCGCTGACCTGGTTGACACATGCCACCGTATGCCACCGTGCTTATGCTGTTGATCACTGGATTTTTTTGTCGAGATAAAATTATCTACAGACAGTGGATATATAGCTCAGATATTGCTGAATGCAGCATTAAACTACAATTGCAACCAAACCAAGTATATTCACTATTAACATTAAGACGGATCAAGAACTCTTTCATGCTTCAAGATTATAGCAAACATTTTTGCTCTCAACATTATTCAATTTATTTACTTGCAAAATTAGGTTCAGAACATACAAGTGTAAAATCCCATGCATATGAACAGAAGTGATCACTTTCGTAAGGATTCCATTTCTTGAATCATTCAAAACGGTGCAGTACATGTTGTTGTGCCTTTATCAAACATAAAATTGAAATTGTTAGATTTTGGCATAAACTGCATTTTAACAGCCATGGTCATGGTACAATACTCAACGCCATTAGCAGATGGTCTACTAAATTCAGAAAATCATGGTATAATAATGTACAGTCACTACTTAGTTCTTTACAGCTTCCAAGAACTGATGCAAATAACATGTCTCGGTCAGATCTCAAGTCTGTGCAGGAATGGCTCTTAACGCTAGACTATAGGGAATGTCTCTCAGAGCTGTGGAATGATAGGGGACAAGTGAATGGTAACAAATTACACACATTTCATCTATTTAAGCAATATCTTTGTACAGAGAGCTACTTCAGCACTATTTTAGTCAGATCACAACGTAGTATATTTGCCAAATTCCGTTGTGGTACATTACCTTTCCAGGTTGAACTAGGTAGATTTAAACGATCTAAGATCCCTTTGGAAAAAAGCATTTTCAGTAAATGTAATGTTCAGTACTGAAGTCGAGGACGAAATTCATTTCTTGGCACGCTGTGGTTTTTATTCGGATATCAGATACGACTTATGGAGCGCTGTCACGGCTGTATATCCTTCCTTTACCCAGTACAGCCCTGTTGATCAGGTCACTCTCATTATGCAAGATAGCCAGTTTATTAAACAAGTAGCCGCTTTACTCCTACGCATGTTTAGGCGTCGTCAATTTTTCAAACGTAAGCTAAGATTTGTTGACAACAATACGTGCTTTAGCATAAAAGCTTACTGGGAACTAGATGACCTAACGCAGTCAGCGGAGTGATCAGGAGAAAATTATGTCACCGGGCTTGTGACGTAACGTATTACTCCGCACATATTTGTGACGTCATAGACATTTCACGAAGTTTAGTTTCATCATTTGTGGCATTTGAAATCACATTTTGTAAAATTATAAAGCAAACATGACATTGTATGATAAATAGGTTATCACACTCGTGTGTTTTTCCCAAAACACACTCGCGTGATAACCTATATATCTAATTTTAACTTTTGTCTCTAAATGCAATATAGTGTCTCATAGGCCCTATTGGCCGGATGTTGTACTCAACTTTATGCCTATATTCTATGATGCCTTTTATGATGTACAACTTATGACACTTTAATAAACAATTTTCTTCTTCTTCTCTTCTTCATGTTTCGTCGTCTGTTAACAAAACATACTGATCTACTCTCTTCAGCACTCTTCAAAACTCTCCTCGCTCGGTGCAAGTAGGCCATGGATCTATTGACTCCAACTCCTTACAATATATTATAGCTTCCAGGATAATAGTGCACCCTGACTACAATAGATTCTCAGGTAATTTGTATCTATTTGTGAACTAAATTTGTATTTTCTGCTAAGACAAAAACCTACAAATGTATGTATGTGTGTGTGTATGTGCGTGCGGATGGATGCATGGATGGATGGATAGGTGGATGGATGGATGAAGAGGCAAAGTTGAGCAGTGTACGGCAATCTATAGCCTAAACAAATCCACCAAATCGTGACACAACACGACCTTCTCTCTTAAGCATTTCAACTTTATCTTCAGGGAGATATTGCGGTCACAGCTTGTAATACAGTTATCTCTCCCGAAGATAGAGCTGAAACACGTAGGATGGATATTCGCATTCTGTCATTATTTTGTGGAATTCTTTTTATATATGTATATATGTCTGTGCAACGCTTTTCAGACCCAGATATTGCCGTCATCAAGTTATCAGAGCCAATCACCTACACAAGCAATAGTCGTCCTGCCTGTCTTCCTCGGGACAATCAGGCAATCGGCATAGACAGGCTAGCTATTGTCACCGGGTGGGGTGTTCTCCAAGGTTTGTACTTTCATCCACCACTAATTGGAATTAAAGGGGAATGAGATAGGGTACAACGCCAGCAAATTCGTTTAATTGAAATACCACATTATCTCAGCATTAAAATCTTCGGATGTCTTGTAAATGTTGATATTAATACTTCACTACTTTTATCCGAGTACAAGACTTTGAAATATGAAAACTTATCAGCAAACGGAACATGTAAAACTATAGCGGTAATATTCCATGAAATCCCATGAAATGGTATTTGATGACACCAGTTAAATTGCATTTAATCCTTTCTTCTTGACTTCAAATTTTCAGGCAATCAGAAATAGTGAATATCGGTTTATAAATATTTTATTTATGAAATGTTTGTTTCACGCAAAAAAATCAATTTAGACATCTTCATCTCGGCAGTGAATTATAGTTCCTCGTTGCTTGACCATGGTTATAGTGTACTTTGGTAACGGAGATAACTCATCCTTTAAGTCACATGAAATGCAATAAATTGCCTTTTTGAGAGCATGACATAAACTTTCACGAACAAACTGTCACAGGGTGTATATCTTCAGGCTGACCCCGTACAGTGCTGAAAGTACCTCAAACGTGCGATTAACATCAAACATAGGGTGAAAATTACCTCAAACGTGTTAGTAGACATCAAAACAGAGGGGGGGGGTGGGGGCGGAGGTTAGCCTAGTGGTTAAGGCGTTCGCTCGTCACGCTGAGGACCCGGGTTCGATTCCCCACATGGGCACCATATGTGAAGCCCGTTTCTGGTGTCCCCCGCCGTGATATTGCTGGAATATTGCTAAAAGCGGCGTAAAAGCAAACTTAAAACAGAGGGAAGAAAGTAACTGAAATATGTCAGTAAACATCAAACAGAGGGAAGAAAGTAACTCAAACATGTTAGTAAACATCAAACAGAGGGAAGAAAATAACTCAAACATGTTAGTAAGCATCAAACAGAGGGAAGAAAATAACTCAGATGTGTTCTTAAACATAAAAGAGCGACGACTGTGACTTAGACGTATTATTAAACATCAGAGGGACGAAAGCAACTCAAACGTATTCGCAAACATCAAACTATATAAGTGATCGATTATGGCATTTTACAGAGAGCACGAATAAAGTCAGATTGTGTAACAAAGAACTATCACATGTATGTTCATGTTGTTCAGGGGCGGTGGGGTAGCCTAGTGGTTAATGAGTTCGCTCGTCACACCGAAGACCCGGGTTCGATTCCCTACATGAGTACAATGTGTGAAGCCCATTTCTGGTGTCCCCCGTCATGATGTTGCTGGAATATTGCTAAAAGCGGCATGAAACCATACTCAGTCACTCATGTTGTAGAGGCCGGAAGCAGAATACCCAACATAATGCAGTATATTGGTGTCCCTACCGTCGATAAAGCCCAATGTAACATAGACTACTCAGGGGGAATCCGAGACGGCGAGTTCTGTGCTGGCTACGCAGAAGGTGAAAAGGATGCATGTCAGGTGAGTTACCCAATGCAGGTGACAGTAACACGTGCAACTGCGACCAGTAAATGCACGAAATATATAAATATTTTTGTACAACACTCACTCACTCACACACACACACGCACGCACGCACACGCAACATACACACAAAGTTTATTATATCCACTATCTTGGGGAAACCAACTGCAACCCTTGCAGATGAATTGCAAGAGGATCATGCATCAAATTGCTGAAAAGCATGTGCAAATATCGTGCTTGTGAACAGCCGTGTTTTGGTGTAAAGTTTTGTTAAGAATTCGCCAATTTTCACTGATTTTCATCATTTATGGAACTCATGACAATTATCTTTTCAACGTTACGAATTTGTTTTACAATACATCAGTTCATGTGTAAACAGTACCTTTAAACAGTATGGAATATTTTACAAAATTTAGTTTAGAACAGTTGCCTGAAAAACTGGTTATATTTACACTAGTGAGTCTAATCTTTTGAAAGGAAGTATATTTCATAAATATTCTAGGCGTGAATTTCCGGGTTAGAACTCATCTTCAGTAACCCATGCTTGTCGTAAGAAGCGACTAACGGGATCGGGTGGTTAGGCTCGCTGATTTGGTTGGCATATGTCATCGTATCCCAGATGCGAAGAACGATACTCATGATGCTGATCACTGGATTGTCTGGTCCAGACACGATTATTTACATACCCCCACCTTATAGCTGTAGGGGCGGTGGGGTAGCCTGGTGGTTAAAGCGTTCGTTCGTCACTCCGAAGATTTGGGTTCGATTCCTCACATGGTTACAATGTGTGAAGCCCATTTCTGGTATCCCCCGCCGTGATATTGCTGGAAAAGTGCTAAAAGCGGCGTAAAACCAAACTCACTCACTAACTCACTCACTCACTTATAGCTGTAATATTACTGAGTGCGGCGTTAACATAAAGCTGGAATATTGTTGTGAAACTGAACTCACTCACTCACTCATAAATATTCTATCTAAATATAATATTGATATTCAGGAGAATATTTGCCTTCCTTTCAGGGTGATTCCGGCGGTGCCCTTGTCATGCCAAGTTCTTCCGGCAGAAGGTGGGAACTTATCGGCGTGGTATCCAGGGGATCCGGGTGTGCCAGAGCAAACAAGCCGGGCATATATGCCAATGTGCCAAAATTTGTGTCATGGATACGGCAATACCTGTAGCACAACATACACAATCTGAAGCTGAAATCAACACACGTGGAGTGGTTTCATGCCATTGAACATTTTGTTGTGGACTCAACATCATCACGATCCCTTTACCATGTAATATACTACACAGAGTAGTCTGTTGATGTCCTTTATGGAACTAATGGCAAATCAACTAAAGGATGTGAAAGTGAAATCCCGGTGTATATAACATATTCAAAGTACAATGGACATTTTGTGATGATATTTACAAAGGTTAATCCTGATCCAGTTACCAAAGGGGTAGATTATTTGTGTGATTCACTGTACATACTTAATAGAAAAAGATAACATGCAATAATCATTGTATGTACCACTGATTTAAACACAATGCTATAAGCACCAATGCAGTCCGGTTACGAAAAAGCATTAGATACACAACTGATGACCTTTCGACTCCCAATAATAAAGTTACCTGTCCAAAACAAGTTGAAATTTTGTTGTATTTTATGCTGATAGTTAGCACACAGCTTTAGTGTTCACGTAAGATATATGGATAAACTTGGGCGTAGAGGCTGTCAGTTTGAACCCTCGCTCATCTGTCATACACTTTTGAGTACTAGCATGATGGTTTAAGCCGCTGGTGGCAACATTCCAGCAATATCGCGGCGGGGGACACCAGAAATGGGCTTCAAACATTGTACCCATGCGGGGAATCAAACCCGGGTCTTCGGCGTGACGCAAATACGTTTTGAAATTGTGTCTTTTATGCTGACAATAAACGCTCAGCTTTCGTGCTCTTGTAAGATATGTGGATAAACCTGTGCACAAAGCCCTTGTGTTCACTGTATCGTTAGAACATATACTTAACAAAGCAAACCTTCACATGTGTTACTTCATGTTCCAAAACATATCCATATGGAACAAGGTGCTTGTGCTTGTGGAAAAACCTGGTTTATGGACGTAATGAGCGTACATTAAAACCGGAATTAGGCATCAACAAGCACTTGGTGCATTCTTTACAGTAAACAGTAGCATGATGGGGTCGCTTTCTGATTTCACAGGGACTACCCATATACCTTGAGGCTACAACAGCAAGGCAACGTTGTATCATTGACCGCATAACACCTGTGAACAGCGTTAGGCTAACTGTGAACTTGCTGCAGCAACATGGCGCCCAAGTCTTGAACGTTTCCGGGGTTGATGTGGCCACGTAAATGTCTTCCAAGAACATGCTATACGTGTTCTATGGGACTGAGGTCAGGTGATCTCTATTGCCATTGACGTCAATACCTGCAGTTTGCTGGAAATCTAGCCATCTGCAGGTGTCATTGTGCCCAGTTTAGACGTTCATTACAGTCTACCTGTGTCAGAATCGGCCCAACATAAGAACGTCGGGCATGAAGATGGGCAGCGCACAAGGGGTTTCGTATGGTCTGGACAGCTACGCGACCGCTGAACAGTGCGTTACTGGTAGACGTTGCGGTCGTAAAACGATGACAACATTTGATTGTCCTCGTCATGGGCGTGAATTGTCCGTCTACTGTATCTCACGGCACGTGCAACAGCTACAGTGGACTGGCCAGTCTGGAACAAGCCAATTGCACGTTCACGTTCAACATTTGTAAGGAGTGGCATTAGAATTTATCTCTCAAGGACGTGTGTTTTTCTAATCACCAGTACATTCTGTACATGTGTTGGTTGTTAGGCACATAAAACATTGTGGTCACGTAACCCATGCTTGTCGTAAGAAGCGACTAACGGGATCGAGCGTTTTCACAAAAAAAGCGTGCTGCATGCACTCCGCGTGGTTCGCCAAAGTTGAAATGGGCGTATGAGTCAGGTTAGACATTACCATTATGGTATTCGTCCATATTAACTACCATGTTCTATTCACTTTCAAAATAATTCATTTCTCCATGTATGATGTTTCTTTTTCGTTCAGTATATTTCAATGCATTAAACTGAACGCGAATCACCCCCTGGTTATCAGTTTACCGGGTATTACAGAACCACATCGTACTCAACATCCCAACACAGCTGCCTACCGTGTGTGTCTTTGTGATCCATTGGTAAATAATGTTTTATTGCTCACGTTCCTAACCTGACAGGTGTATTTGGCCTGTTGTTTGCTGATGAGTACAGAGGATTACCTGCCTTCTATGTCTATCAGTCGATTACAAGGGTCATTCCGTTGTTGAAATATGCAGTATCATGATTCCGAAATCGTGACTTTTAATCATTGTCATGGTACTATATTGGATTTTGTTAGTCACCTCAGTATCCCAAACCTGTCGTGAAAATGGAACAATAAGGTAATGTGATGCGTGAATTGACTCAACTGCATCACCGTCGTTAATGGATTATTCCTGGTTTCGTTTTGCCATGATATAACTGGAATAATTTGTGTACGATTCATCACCCTACAATAATGGTGATGACGTACGATTCATATCTCACAGCGGCGGTGGGGTAGCCTAGTGGTTAAAGCGTTCGCTCTTCACGCCGAAGGCCCGGGTTCGATTCCCCACATGGGTACAATGTGTGAAACCCGTTTCTGGTGTCCCCGCCGTGATATTACTGGAATATTGCTAAAAGCTGCGTAAAACCAAACTCACTCACTCATCACCTCACAATAATGGGGATGATGTACAGTTCATACGTACGTACGATTCATCACCTCACAATAATGTGATGATGTACAATTCAGCACCTCACAATACTGGTGATGACGTACGATTCATCACCTCACAATAATGGTGATGATGTACAATTCAGCACCTCACCTTAATGGTGATGACGTACGATTCATCATTTCACAATAATTGTGATAATGTACAATTCAGCACCTCACAATATTGGTGATGATGTACAATTCATCACCTCACCTTAATGGTGATGACGTACGATTCAGCACCTCACAATAATGGTGATGACGTACGATTCAGCACCTCACAATAATGGTGATGACGTACGATTCAGCACCTCGCAATAATGGTGATGATGTACGATTCATCATTTCACAATAATGGTGATGACGTACGATTCAGCAACTCACCTTAATGGTGATGACGTACAATTCATCATTTCACAATAATGTTGATGACGTACAATTCAGCATCTCGCAATAAGGGTGATGATGTACAATTCAGCACCTCACAATAATGGTGATGACGTACGATTCATCACCTCACAATAATGGTGATGACGTACGATTCATCACCTCACAATAATGGTGATGACGTACAATTCATCACCTCACAATAATGGTGATGACGTACAATTCAGCACCTCACAATAATGGTGATGACGTACAATTCATCACCTCACAATAATGGTGATGACGTACGATTCATCACCTCACAATAATGGTGATGACGTACGATTCATCACCTCACAATAATGGTGATGATGTACGATTCATCACCTCACAATAATGATGATGACGTACAATTCATCACCTCACAATAATGGTGATGACGTACAATTCATCACCACACAAAAGAGCGACGATGACGTACGATTCATTACCTCACAATGATTATGACGTACGAATCATCACCGAGCTGTTCTAATGGCGATGACTGGACAACGTGGCGACGTTTTTCTTTCGACCACGTGTGTTAACTTGTTAATGATTATAAATGCGCAGGAGTTTCGCCTGCATGTCGTACTTGAGACAATAGCGGATATCTGGTTCATGGTGCACTTCGGACTTGCACCTTACATGATTCTTGAACATCTAGGTCTCTGTTTAAATTTGAAAAGGATGTGTGTTTATTGTGTGGTGTTGTGCTGTGTGATATACGTTTGCGATGTGTGTTGTACTAAGCTGTTTGTATATTTGAGCGTCGTGTCGTGTCGAGTCGAGGCGTGGCGTGGCGTGGCGTGTCGTGGCGTGGCGTGGCGTGGCGTGGCGTGGCGTGGCGTGGCGTGGCGTGGCGTGGCGTGGCGTGTCGTGGCGTGGCGTGGCGTACTTGGAAATTTGTTGAGATACATGTGTTTGATTTACGTTTACGTTAAAACTAAATCTAACTCACCAGCTGAGTCATGTGAATTCAACACAAACACTCACGCCTTTTTAATCCATTTTGTTCAGTTGCGGGCCATGATGGTACCCCGACATGCTTTCTCTTTTCAACAATAAGCTGGTGTCATTACTGTGTTCTAACGATCTGTTAATTTTTAGACAGAATCTGTTTTGTTGGGTAACTTGCACCCGTTGCCGTTTTATAGTTTCCGAATTCGGATTAAGTCATTAAATTGTTACAATTTACTCCTGTAAAAGAAAAAACTGCTTCCTGAAATCGTATCATTAACAGTTTGATCACATTTTAGATTGTTCCTTCGTTTTGCATTGTTAAATGTATTGATAATGACAATGTCTAACGCTCATGAATATGTCCTCGTCAGATGCCTTACGGTGCAATTAATGGTCAATATTGTCTTGTTCAATAAACCTCTCGTGCAGTTACCGCAAAATTGATCTTCCAACCGTTTCTTATTATGGTTTGCATATATCAAGTATTCATGTAGTCAACCAGTTCATCCATTCCTTAAACCCGCAGTAGCATCAGAGTTGACCCTCATCCAGCGGTAAGGAGTGAGTGAGTGAGTGAGTTTAGCTTTACTCCGCACTCAGCAATATTCAAGCTATAAGGCAGCGGTCTGTAAATATGTGAGTCTGGACCTAGACAATCCTGTGATCAGCAGCATGAGCACCGATATACGCAATTTGGAGACTGACCACCCGATCCCATTAGTCGCATCTTACGACAAGCATGGGTTACTGAAGGCCAATTCTACCCCGGATCTTCATGGGTCTCCAGCAGTAGTATCGTGTTCGTGGCATCCTTTCAGTGAAGATACTTTTAGGATGCAGAAAACCCAGAGTATACACTGCAGTTAAGCTGCAGAGTCAATCTGTCAAAATACTTTTACTTTGAGTATCCGTTTTGTTTTTGGCAAACCTAGATTGGATCCATTCTTCATAAAGACTATGAAACAAAAACTCCTTCAATGTAATTTATTCAAGTGATTCAGAGTGTATATGTACACATTCGAAGAAACAACAATTCTTATGTAACATGAATATTATTCAAAATCCGTTAGAAATTCCAAGATTTCAGGTTAAAAGTACAATTCTCTCATGCCTTACGTAGCAAAATGTAAGGAAGATTACATTACATTTCGTGAACGCCAACTGCAAGTTTAGTCAGCCAGAGAAAATATAATACATCTCACATATTTATAAATAACATTAATTCCTGATTGAGTTTATCCAGTCGACATGCTGAGGCACGAAGGCATACACCCCTGGAAAGCCTGGCTTTGCACACCCCTCTGCCACTGACACCACGCCGTACAAAACCCATCTTTCCCCCCACCGGGCAAAATAGGGGTCCACCAGAGTCACCCTGAAAAGTAAATTGCTGGTAATAAGGATAATAAGAGATAAACATACTATTTAGTGGGTGAATGGTAAGTCTTTGCGTTTTCAGTTGAATGTTAATCCATGTTGGTGTGTATTCTTTCATTATTTGAACCCCCCCATCCACTACAGAATCTTAGACCGCCTCCGTGGTGTAGTGGTTAGAGCGTCCGCCCGGAGAGCGGAAGGTCGCGGGTTCGATCCCCGACCGCGTCATACCAAAAGACGTTAAAATATGGTACTTGTTGGTCCCTGCCTGGCACTCGGCATTAATGGGTAGAACAAGGACTGGTCGGCTCGGAGTCAGTATAATGTGTCTGAGTGAGGTATTCATGCTTCATTGCGGCATGGTATCTCAGTGGGCTAGTATTTCATAATGATTCGGGGCGGTGGGGTAGCCTAGTGGTTAAAGCGTTGGCTCGTCACGCCGAAGACACGGGTTCGAATCTCCACATGGGTACAATGTGTGAAGCCCATTTCTGGTGTCACCCGCCGTGATGTTGCTGGAATATTGCTAAAAGCGGCGTAAAACCAAAACTCAGTCAGTCAGTCATAATGATTCATACACACACGCTCTGTCGTCGTATCGCATGGTGACAATCACTGGATTGTCTGGTCCAGATTCTTCGATTATTACAAACAACACCGTACAGCTGTAATACTGCTGAACAAATACATAGTATAGCTCCTGATATAGTCACAATTGTACAATCGACTCTTCTTTCAGCAGAGATTTCTTATTGATGTGGAAATGGTTTTGCCGCTTCTATCAACACATCCAATCAGTCATTCTTTCGGGAAGACAAGAGTCATGTTGTGTCAGATAGACCTAAAATTCGTGGTCCATAGTTCTGTCCTGTTCTGTTCCGTTAAACGTTCAAGGATGCACTGTTATGGGTCTTAACAGAAGAATGTATGAAACCGGACAATCGCAGTGTTACACTCGCTCTTGGGTTTCCTAAAGACTTCAAATCTAGCTCACTCACTAACTCCCTACTGACCTTGCATGCGTCTACTCCCCCTTCTCTGAAGTACCCAGCACACAGCTGCCTGTTTGATACCAGTATATAGTCGTTGTCTGCATATGACCTTTGACAAAGGTCAAGGGGGAACAAGGGCACGTATGCCTTCTGTAGAATATCAGGAAATGTGAAACCGCCATCTAAAGAAAACAACAACATTCGTATATGATAAAGGGCCACATCATGACACCATTTCGATTATGACAGACAAAATATGACGATCTTCCTTTTTATATTTGGTTGAAGGAGAATGAAATAAAACATCTTAAAAAAATGATGTTGGAAATATATGGAGTAAAATATAAAAGGTTAACGCTAGAGAATAACGAGTCTCCGGCATCTTCCGAAATATATTTTTAAAAAGCGGAATATTGATGATGATTATATGAATAGATTCCTGAAAATAACTCACAACAACAAGTGTTTGCGAGATGGGGCAGCATGTTCTGATCTACCAGTGCCTACCTCCGTGGTCATTGTTTCCATTCAAAAGGGAATTATACGTAATACTATCTATTGTTTGTCGCATAGTAACTCAGAAATACCCTGCCATGTGATCGGATAATCATTGCGCTTGTACATAGCTGACCTGATTCAAAACTAACACTATTGTCAGTTATTTGAGAGGCATTTTAGAAGTTGTAAAGGTGAAGGAAACCAAGTTGGATGGTTTTGCTTGACGGTGTTAGTACTTACACCAAAACGCCGCACTCAATGCAATAAAGAACTTCATTATCCATACAATTTGGATTTCCTAACACTATTGTGCTGTAGGCGGTGGAAGGGAACATTAAACTGCTCGACAATTAAATGAAACATACATGACAATTTGATTTGGGCAAAGATTTATTCAAAGAATAAAGGGAAATCTGAAGTCTCATTGTCTCATTTAAAACAAATGGTCGGTAATGGAGATTTACGCACCCAGGAGCGTCCCCCATCCAGTGATGAGGCACCCAGAGCCAGCTGTGTAGGAAGTCCCCGGCTCAGGTAGACACACGCTTCTTAAATTTGTACTGGCACTCAGGGGTAAATCCTCACTAAGCCTTACAACGGCGATGTCATTGTCCTCTGAACACAAAGAAAAAGAATTGGAATGGAGAAAACCTGAAACGGGGTGAAGAACACAAAATAAAGGGATGAAGAACACAAAGTAATGAGAAGAAGTAACGGGATTAAGAACACACAAGACATGACGGGATGAAGAACACAAAGTAATGCAAAGAAGTAACGGGAAGAGGAACACAAGGCATAACGGGATGAAGAACACAAAGTAATGGGAAGCAGTAACGGGACGAGGAACACAACATAATGGGAAGAAGTAACTGGATGAAGAACACAAAGTAATGGGAGGAAGTGACGGGATGAAGAACACAAGACATGGCGGGATGTAGAACACAAGGTAATGAGAAGAAGTAACGGGATGAAGAACACAAAGTAATGGGATGAAGTAACGGGATGAAGAACACAAGACATAACGGTATGAAGAACACAAAGTCATGCGTGGAAGAAACGGGATGAAGAACACTATAATGGGAAGAAGTAACGAGATGAAGAACACAAGGCATAACAGGATGAAGAACAAAAGCATAACGAGATGAAGAACACAAAGCAATGGGAAGAAGGGAAGTATGCTGTTGACGAACCGTAACACAAAATCAGGGCAAATATACAAGTGTAAGTTCCTGCAACGCGAGGTGTGGCTCCTCACGAAACTACGCCACCCGTGCACAACAATCGTATGTAATCACACAAATACGAAAGGATATATGTTCTTTTATGTCTTCGCATGTTTTCTACAGATATGCCAACAGAGCGCAAGCCCATCACTCCGACCACTCACTTATGAGAGTAACAGTTCGAATCCAATTCTAGAATTGTTAAATAACAAGAACAAGTTCTATTCATTTCAGTTGTAAAAACGCACTACAAATGAATAGTTATATATGTCTGAATATTAATGAGTAATAGAATCGTAATCTTATCCGAATACATATACATCTATGAATGAATAATGTGTACAAAACTGACTGTTTTGGGAAATGGAAAGTCCGACTTACTGTTAGTTATGTTGTAGAGTGGGTGGGCGTCGATTTTTTCGGCAGTTATATTACTGAGTCTCCTTCTCTGAATGGAGCCATAACCAACTCTAAGCCTCTCAGGGTTGTCTTTCAGAGATCTGCAAAATACATCCCGTTCATTCAGTGAAAAGCTATTGATGGTACAAAAGGTATTTATCCAGTGATATATTTGAAGATTTGAACACGAATTCGACCATCAAAGACGAATTCAACGCATCGGCTTTCTTTTGTATACAACATGCCAGTACTGCATTTCCATTGGATATTCATTTCAATTTAGGGCGCGCGCGCGCGCGTGCGTGCGTGTGTGTGTGTGTGTGTGTGTGTGTGTGTGTTAGCACAGTGATTAAAGCGTTCGCTCGTCACGCCGAAGGGACGGGTTCGATTCCCCACATGGGTACAATGTGTGAAGCCCATTTCTGGTGTCCCACGGCGTGATATTGCTGGAATATTGCTAACAGCGCCCAAAACCATACTCCCTCATTCATTTCAATTTCAGACGTATAACATTTAAACATAATGATTCTCTTTAAAGTTGTGCTGTGCTGTATGACGGAACTGAAAATGACTCAATCGATTAATGAATCACGTGCACGTCTCAATTCTCTATATACCAAAACTAAAACTAGATAACGAATATATATACAGACAAAGCAGTCACAAAATATCCATTGGCCCTACACAATATGATGACGCAGAACATGACGATCACGTTCCTAACACGAGATGCACATCATTAACGACATTCACATACCTGCCATGACCGGAAACCCGTCACTAGCACCATTCACGTTACTCACATGATGAGAAACACGTCACTAACGACATTCACACGCACCGCACATGATGAGAAACACTTTACTCACGACATTCACATGATGAGAAACACTTTACTCACGACATTCACACGCACCGCACATGATGAGAAACACTTTACTTACGACATTCACACACCTCACACAGCAAGATACATTCACGTCACTAACGATATTCACCTACCCTACACAGTGAGAGGCAGTGACGATGTGTCGTTTATCAATGATGGAACCGGCACACAATCTTAAGGTAAACCGTTCTTCCAAGTAAACTGTCCAAGGGAACTCCTTTTCTTCGGCATCAATGCCACCCACAACACGAGGCATGGCGTACCGAGACGCGTTCCCGGTCTTTGAACTTAGGCCACACGGGGGATCTTGAAAAATAAATAAGTTCTTGCGTGATCACATGTCATGTTTTGTACAGAATATCTATGTTCTTGTCCCAGTCGGTATCTTAACAACAAAGGTCTTAATGATATTTATATTAATAAAATGTTGGGATCGTGGACAGAGTACCCCTTTTCACAGCCTACCAAATGAAGACAGAGCTCCGTTCTAGGGGTCAGTCTACCCTGTTGATTTCAAACATTTTTAAAGAGCACCAACAGTTCTTCATCGTACATTGGGATATTCAACTAGTTCTAGAAGCTTAAAGTATGGAGCATATCCCTACTACAAGCATTTAAACCTGCTGAACAACGGGGGTGTTTTGAACCGCAAGGATGATTTTTGTTTGGGAGGAACTGGCGGTATCTGATGCTCATGTATGATGCTCTTACAGAAGTAGTTCATATGCATGCTAAATCATTTTGAATCATTTACATCAACCATGCAGATCGGTGTGATCGTTGTTGTTGCACAACTGGCCGTTATCACAATAGGATCGTATAGTACTGACTGACTGACTGACTGAGTTTGGTTTTACGCCGCTTTTAGCAATATTCCAGCTACATCACGGCGGGGGAACACCAGAAGGATCGTATAGTAAATGTCCCGGAAGGTATGCGTTCGACGTGCTCAAAGGAATACCGCAGGGAGGTAGATGGGCAATGTTACCCATTGGGGAGATCGAAACATTATGCACTTGGATTTTGAAGACATTTAGTTAAAGGTTATTCTTTCCGGTAAAACTGAATTGGGATAATAGAACACCCCCAAAAAAAACAAAACAAAACAAAAAAACAACAACAAAAAACAAAACAAAACAACAAAACAAAACAAAAACCCAAACAAACAAAAACAAACCAACAAAAACACCCCATACATATTGGACAACATTTGATGGGATTGCTTAACCAAGTCGTAAAGATAATCAGATGAAATGTTACCCGTTTCACGTTTGATGGGATCCTGTGTACACTGGTAATAGTAGAACAGGTAAACACACACCGGGGACATGGTAAAGCAGCTCTGGAAATGGTTACACATAAGAGCTCGTTCCTGGGCAGCTGGAAGGAAGAATCACTTTGAAATTAAAATTTGACATCAAATGCATAGAAGATGAATTGCGTTTCTTTAATGCTGAACAGATGAACTATTGAAACGTTACCATCTTAAAAATAATAAAAAACACGTTCAAACTAAGTCAATGCAAAACACATCGCCCAAACACAACAATAGCTACGTCAAATAATTTTCGCAGAAAATATACTCTCCCAAAAAAGAAACGCATATAGGAAATTCAACTGTATTTTTATGTTTATTTTGAAACATCTTGTAGGCTTTATGAGTCAATGAAATATAGCGAAATTACACACTGGGAATGCAGACGTATCCGTCTTTGGCACTAACTCGAGGAAAGTCAGTTTGAGTGTCACATGGAGACGTGTGGTGGCGCTGAAGTCAATCCCTCGTGTGACCACCGTGGACATCCAGAACTGCACGGCATCGCCTCGGCATCGAACGAATAAGTCTCAGAATCTCGTGTTGCCCAATCGCAGCCCACTCTGCCTGTAGTGCCTGTGCGAGTTGCTGAAGTGTCTGGGGCTGAGGGTTACGGCGTTGCACCCGTCTGTCCGGGGCATCCCACAGATGTTCGATTGGGTTTAAGTCCGGTGATCTTGAGGGCCAGGGGAGCACATTGATGTTGTGGTTCTGGAGGAAGTCTCTGGTGTGACGTGCTGTGTGGGGCCTGGCATTGTCCTGTTGAAACAACTCCCTCTGGCGATCAATGATTGGAAGGAGGTGTGGGTGTAGGATTTCGTCACAGTACCGTTGAGCTGTCAGGTTGCCCTGGATCATCACCAAATCACTTCTCCTACGGCAGGTGATCGCTCCCCACATCATAACACTGTCCAGGCCGAATCTGTCCACCTGGGGAACGCAAGCGTCGGCGAAACGTTCACGTCGACGTCTGTACATCCGCATTCTTCCATCGCGTCGTTCCAATAGAAATCGCGATTCAACACTGAACCAGATTCTACGCCAATTCGGTAGGTTCCAGGCCTGAACGTTGGTGCACCATTGAACTCGATGTCGACGATGTTGTTGTCGAAGCACAGGGCCAAAATAAGGTCTTCTGGCAAGTAAACCAGCCTCCCTCAACCTGTTTCTGACGGTCTGTGCAGAAAGCCTCCTCAATCCGGGTATTTGTCGAGCGGTACTGGTCGCCGTAGCTGTTCGATGACGCAGGTGATGTACCCGGATGTAGCGATCCTGTGCCGCAGTGGTCGCTCGAGGTCGCCCACTACGAGGGACATCTGCTACCGCATTGTGCCGGCGATATCTCTCCCAGAGCCGTGAAATGGTGCTTTGGTGAACATTCATGCGTGGGGCAACTGCACGTTGAGACTGGCCAGCTTCAAGCAAACCAATGGCGATATGACAGTTGGCTTCACTTAGACGTGGCATTTTGCGTTCGTCAACAATATTCCAAATACAGTGAATAATCGACAGACAGCGATCAACCTTTTATACCCATCATTGAGACTATCTGATCCCCAACTTTCACGTGCATTGCATGTGAATTGTGTATTCTGTGACCCTACACGCCGAAATTGAAAATCATGCTGTTAAATACGGGTATTTTACGGATGGTGCGTTTTGTTGTGATGTTTCAAAACATAAACACCATAGGACTCATAAACAGAGCAAAACCTTTTGTAAAATGAATCACGTTTTAATTCATTGCTACATAAAATTGCTATTTTCATGATGCGTTTCTTTTTGGGAGAGTATATAAAAAGTGAAACACGAGCCGATTGGGAAGCCAAAACAACACGTGTAATCAGGATATATATTTGATGCAAACAGCAAGTGAAACACTCGCAGTCAGAGATATAACGCAACTGAAATTGATCGCTTGACACCCGAACCACGCAAACGGATCCTGGGTATGATACAGATTGGAGCCACCAATGCTGTTCTTATTTGGCTGCTCAATTGTTGCTGTAACTAACCTAATGCAACGTTTCGGACAGACCGGACAGAAATCAGACAGGTCAAGAACAGGCAAATCCGGGTAACTACGCCCAATGAAGACCGGTTCCTGCGTCTCGGAATCGATTCCTGGTAGTGATGTCATCCACAAAGGTATATGGTTTGCTGACATGCAGCGGTCATTCGATTACACGTGTTGTTTCGGCTTCCCAATTGGCTAACAGATATTACAGAGGACAGTTATTGACAGCGCAGCAGAGATTTAAATGAACCTGCACTGTTTGTCGTTGGCACCGACGTGACTGACAGAGGGTCGTCTTTACCGATTTGTCCGTTAAGAGCCGATGAAAGTAAAAACTGTTTACGGCCGAAAGGGGGAACCAAAGACGGTATCAGTGTGTAGGGCCGTATGGCGGAACGGAAGTTCTGGTGTGGGGAGGGATGTGTGGGCAAGAGAGGGAACAGTACTGGAAGGCGTTCCCGAAATTTGACAATGCAGCGATAAATGTATGGCATAAAAATTTATTGTCCAGTTGCCTTGCCATTTCTACAACAGCTGCCAACATCATAACAACGCCAGGCCCCATACATCCCGGACTTTGCAGAACTTCCCTGAAGCCAACAACGTCCAAGTGTTCCACGCTCCCGAGACCTTTCCCCCACAGACAACATCTGGGATGTCATGGCTCGTCATGTTTAACAGCAGCCACATCCTAGAGCCAGCCAACAAGAGTGAGTGAGTTGGGTTTTACGCCGCTTTTAGCAATATTCCAGCAATATCACGGCGGGGGGACACCAGAAATGGGCTTCACACATTGTACCCATGTGGGGAATCGAACCCGGGCTATTTCGTGACGGTCGAACGCTTTAACCACTAACCTACCCCACCGCCCCTCTACAACATGAATACATGTGATTGTTATGTCACACAATCTTAATTTACTCGTGCTCTCTGTAAACCCAGCCTTCTGAGAACAATGGCGACGTATCTTACATGACGTCCACAGACAAATGGGTTTCGGCGCGTCTAGTAGCAGGGGATGACGAGAAAAGGGAAACCAAAACTTATCAATATGACGTCTCATTGAACTTGAGCGATTTTAGATTTTTGCTTTTGCTATCCTCACCTCAAGTAGGCAACCGTCATGCCAGTATTGGCTGCTGTATGACGGTCATTTTCTATATATATTTCCATGAAATTTTGATCAATTCAATACATTTTATTTCAGGCATCTATCTTTTGTGGTTTTTACTAAGATTAATATAACCCTATAGTAAAGTTTCTTTTAGCCGTCAGTATACATTACAATGTAGGTCAATAACCTTTAGCTGCTACGAGGTAACCTGGTGTACAAAGCAACCGTTTGTCTAGTCGTTTGTCAGGCTGCAAACCTCCACATGAATACATCAGGTGTGCTCATTTCTAGAGATGTTAGGTGTCAAGACTTTTTAATTATCTATTTGAATTAATTTTGAGAGCGTACATACGAACTTTACGGAAGAAAACTCCATACTTTATAGTAAGCAACCTTTTCAATCAAGTTACACCATAAAGTCATTTCAGAAATTGCATCTGAACACTGGGAGGGTTTTATTAAATACATGTACGACACATTGTTTGTCAACTTGAACTCATGCTATCCAATTTGTAACATTGCAGGAACTTACTGACATGAACCTATTGTGAACGTCTAGTGGTACCAGTGGAGGATGGAAAACGTACCCTTTTCATGAATACATGTTGTCATCACTAATTTGCAGTGATAAATTTATATAATTCTCATCAATACTTCATCTTTTAGTTCGGCAAATATTCAAGACAAGATAGCGTCAACTCAAACTGTCACGAATCGTGTCATTAAAATCTGTGAACATACTGCGGAACTGTCTCTGTTCTTTTTCAGAATGCTATCGACGAATGTGATAATTAGACACTACAATGTTACAGTAATTATAATGTATAAGGTTGGTAATATGGATTCACGCGTTCCTTTTGGTTCCAGACTGATGGTTTGATAAACCTATATGTTTTAGTCCAAACTACATACTAATATAAAGACTAGTCGATTAAAGCATCGCAAGCTTAAGGGTATTGAGACACGTCGTTGTTTTGTCCATATTAAGGACATAAATACAAATATTCCCTCAATAGTGATAATGCTATTATGACCATCACGTGCCTTTATATACCTATACTACAGCCTATTAACACTGTACATATACTAGAGATATTGTTCACCTCAGTTAATGAAAAGTCTGTACAAACAGAATTTGTCAAATATCCATCTACCAGTATCTAATAATTGGGATGTTTACTGATCTGTAATGGTCTAAAATATAATAGACCGGTGAGTATCAGTGTATGAAGAAAACACAATACCAAACAATTACCAAAATAAAGTGACAAGACCCACATACATCATCCAGATATACTTGGCTACAAATCACCATTTAGCTACTATTAATATAGTCATGCACGAAACATCACCATGCTAAAAGGTACTGTAATGTAATGCTGTTGGAAATATATAATTAAAATAGATTAAAATTCATAAGTACTTGAAACTGTCTTAAAGAACCTTACAGGGACCTTTGACATATACATCACTTTTTGTATATCCATGGGTTTAAAAAAATAACCATACTCACCTATTTGTGTAGAAAAACATAGCAATACCAACAAAAGGAGCAGCACTCCTTGTCGTACGCAAGCTGCCATCTTGAATTAGTTTGAAGAAAGATGTTTCACGATGTAAAAACACCTGTCTCTACACCCGATGATGAGACACTCTTCACAACAAAATCTCTTTATGTGTTTAACATCCCAGTATAAGATCTAATTATAGAGAACGTCAAAGGAATAGGGATGTACAGGCCAGTGTGATGGTCTTCTCTAGCGCCTTTAGTACTGAGATGACGTTTAAGAATAACCGATGGCGCGTTTCATTGATGTGTCATTGCCAATCCGGAGAAAAAACCCTCCTGATTGACAGATGTTGATTGTTATCTTATACAGAGCAGGTAACAGGATTGAGTATCAATTATAATTGTGTTCAATATGAAATGGTTTCTATAAAATAAAGTGCGATTTAGGCACAGTAAGATAGCTCTTTTGTGAGTGTATTCTTGCAGTGGTGAAGGATATGTGCGGATCTCTATTCAAGTGTTGACAGAGAAGGCCAAAGCGGCACACCCCCCTTACAATTAGACGGCAGTGCTCTAGTTGAGTGTTCTGATTCAGTTTCACTATTTTGACAAGCCCTAAAGTGGCAGGTCTGATATTATATAACCGTTTTGAAAACATTTTCTTATCCTAGATATACTCTCATACAGTATTTACACTGTTTTTTTACACAGATGGTGAAATGAGTTAAGGAAAACTGTTTTTTTTATCAATGAACAGTGTATGGTGTGTCAGGTAAACACTTATTAGATCCAAAGAATACTCATTAAAATTTCTTTGATTGGCATTCGAGAAGTTGAGAAGATGAAGAATGGGGACAATTGTAATGGATAGACAACTTTTTTATTCTGTATAGGAACGCTTCGACGTAGATTCTAATATCGTTGTCAAGCACATTAGAATCTATGTCGAAACGTTGCCTGTACAGAATATAGAGGTCCTCATTCCCCATTAAAATTGTTGAATTAAGTGGATTTAACATATGTTATATTTGGGATTACACTTTCTAAGTAAAGTACAAATTCTAGTACTAGTACAAAGTCGCGGTGGCTGAACAGGTTAGGCGGCTGACTGTGTGTGCTGGCGATTAGGTGCCTGACTCTGAGGGTGTGGGTTCGAATCCAGGATGGGACTCAACCCCAAAAAGTATTAGAATTTGTACTTTACTAAGAAAGTGTAATCCCAAATATAACATATGTTACATTTGACCACTTTCTAAATGGCATTGTGTAATCATAGCTTTCGGCCGTGGGAGCCGTGCCAATTCACACTTATCAGAGGGGTACAGAAAGTCCGCAGTCTAGACTACCAGTTGTCCGACTTTCATTCTAGAATTTTGTGGAAGTCGCGGTGGCTGATACAGCACGCTGCATTACGTAAAAAGTAATGGAGCGAGCATACAATGGTTAGGGAGCCGAGGCCTCGAGGGGCGAGGAGCTGACTTTGTATTACTTTGGGTGCTGGCGACTTATAACGAACTGTGCCTGACTCTGATGGGTGTGGGCTTCAACAAACATTTCCGACTCAAATAACCCGTGGATGGGACTCACTATTTTCCTTTTCGTGTTTTGAATTAATGCCAAAATGTACTATTTGAAAGAATTTTGTTGGGGAAACAGGTTTTAATTTTACTAAGCCCCAAAGGTGTAATGAAAACCACTCAAATAATGTTTAACATATGTTACATTTGACCACTTTCTACAATGGCATTGTGTAATCATAAGACTGGGCCTTGGATGTGTGCGTGCGTGCGTGCGTGCGTTGGTTTGTGTATGTGAATGTGTGTGCTTGTGTGTTTGTGTGTGTATGCGTTTGTGTGTATGTTTGGTTTTGCATGTGTGACTGTGTTGGTGGGACATTATTATCAATGTTTTTATGTAACTGTGATATTTGTGTCTCATAGGCCATAAGCCTGGATGCTGTTTTTTAAATCCCCCGGAATAATGATATGTCTGTAATTGTAATTCAGATTGTGACACAATAATAAACTATATTTCTTCTTCTTCCCTTCTTCTGTATGCGTGTGTGGCGCTAGTGAGAGTGCCTGCGTGTATGTGTGTGAGTGAGTGTGTGGTGTTGGTGAAATGTGTGTCTGTATGTATGTGTGTGTATGAGTCTGTATGTGTGCATGTTGCTAGTGACAGTGTTCGTGTGCAGGTGCGTGTGAGTGCATTTGTGTACATGTGTGTATGTCTGGTGTTAGTGAACATGTGTGCTTGTATGTGGAGTATGCGTGTATGTGTGAATTGTGTATGTGTGAACGGTGATATTGAGAGGTGTACATGTATGTATGTGTGCGTTTGTGATGGGTTCATGTATGTAGTACGCATGTGTTACATGTTACACGTGTATGTATGTAATGACAGGATGGGTGTGTAAGAGTTAAAATGTAAGCTGGTGTAATCAGGAAGAAACTGGTCACAGCGAAGGGCATGCTATGTATGCTGTGTGTAAAACTATGTCTGAACAAGTGGGATGTGCACTAAGGAGATTCTCCCTGATGCTTGGTTCACTGCGGATCCTTGATTCTCCCTGATGCTTGGTTCACTGCGGATCCTAGATTCTCCCCTGATGCCTGGTTCACTGCGGATCCTAGATTCTCCCTGATGCTTGGTTCACTGCGGATCCTAGATTCTCCCTGATGCTTGGTTCACTGCGGATCCTTGATTCTCCCCTGATGCTTGGTTCACTGCGGATCCTTGATTCTCCCTGATGCTTGGTTCACTGCGGATCCTTGATTCTCCCTGATGCCTGGTTCACTGCGGATCCTTGATTCTCCCTGATGCTTGGTTCACTGCGGATCCTTGATTCTCCCTGATGCTTGGTTCACTGCGGATCCTTGATTCTCCCTGATGCTTGGTTCACTGCGGATCCTTGATTCTCCCTGATGCCTGGTTCACTGCGGATCCTTGATTCTCCCTGATGCTTGGTTCACTGCGGATCCTTGATTCTCCCTGATGCTTGGTTCACTGCGGATCCTTGATTCTCCCTGATGCTTGGTTCACTGCGGATCCTTGATTCTCTCCTGATGCTTGGTTCACTGCGGATCCTTTGATTCTCCCCTGATGCTTGGTTCACTGCGGGTCTTTGATTCTCCCCTGATGCCTGGTTCACTGCGGATCCTAGATTCTCCCTGATGCTTGGTTCACTGCGGATCCTTGATTCTCCCTGATGCTTGGTTCACTGCGGATCCTTGATTCTCCCTGATGCTTGGTTCACTGCGGATCCTTGATTCTCCCTGATGCTTGGTTCACTGCGGATCCTTGATTCTCCCTGATGTTTGGTTCACTGCGGATCCTTGATTCTCCCTGATGCTTGGTTCACTGCGGATCCTTGATTCTCCCTGATGCTTGGTTCACTGCGGATCCTAGATTCTCCATCGTGCTTGGTTCACTGCGGATCCTAGATTCTCCATGGTGCTTATGTGTTTCATTACAGCATTTCGAATCGGGTAGCCTAATGGTTAAACTCGTCACGCTGAGTACCCGGGTTCTATTCCCCACATGGGTACAATGTGTGAAGCCCTTTTTCTGGTGTCCCCCGCCGTAATATTGCTGGAATATTGCTAAAAGCTGCGTAAAAAACATACTCACTCACTCTTTCAAACTTTCGAGCTTTCAAAACGTTTTATGATAGACATGAGTTGAACATTTCAACCATTCAACCACTCAACCACTTTTCCACTCACTCAACCTCTGAACCATTCAACCATTCCTCTAACTATTTAAGTGTATTTCTGATTGTGTTATTGTCCTGGGTTATCAAACTCCCTAATTGGCAGAGGTCCCTCGCTACAGAAGATACGGACAGGTGCAGGGCAAGACAAAACAAAACCCTGTCAAAATACCAACTCCAAAGCCATTTTATAAAAAGGTGATAACATATTTATTAACCAAAACAATGACCATGGTATTATTCTATAAAACTATATATGAGTTGATCCACTGTATATGTTTAGGGACGTATGCGTAGATACCAGGGTACAGAGCTTGGGCACACCCCTTGCCGGCAGACACTATCCCATACTGCACCCACCTGTCTCCCTCGGCACAGAACAGGGGTCCACCAGAGTCCCCCTGCATAACATAAAGCGATTCAATAAAAACAGAAAATATTCAGTCTCATATATACACAAAGAACTTAGTTAAGCACCCCTGACATATCTCATGATTGAATGAGCCCCGATCTTAACCCTTGGGAGCATATCTGGGACATGATTGGTCGTCCTGTGCAACAAGGGGATCCTCCTGTACAGAACCTTGCCCAGTTGGAAGCTGTTTTACACGAGGATTGGCGTGGACTGCCCTTCAGAGGATCAGGAGACTGACAGGGGGTATGAAGAGGAGGTGCTGGATGTCATACAGTCACATGGAGGTTACACTCGGTATTGACCTTGAATCGTGCAAGACACGCAAAATGACATTTTGTTAACGTTCACATTGACCAATAAATTCAACATTAAACATTCCAGACATAGTTTTCTATGAAAATCAGTGTTTCTTTAAATAAGCAGTTGTCATCATAAAATAAAATCAACATGGATTCCAATCATTTTGTCGTTTTTTATGAGTCAAAGGATCATACGTGTCAGAAAAATTCATGTTTTTCCATCATGGTCACCACGAGATGGTTTTAAGTACGTGCTGAAAACCTGTCATTGAAAAAATACAATGTGTTCTTAATTAAGTTCTTTGTGTATATATACCGAAACAATTCTGTTTGGCATCAAATACAAATAATGATACACAATTCGCGTTATTTGCGAAGAGGTCATAATGAGCATGTCACACCGGCTACACATGCCACACACAAGATGTTAATTAACAAAGCAAATATGTTCATATGCTTCTCATTTACGTGAAAATTGTAAATAATGTTTACCCCACACGCATCCTTCCCTCCGACGGTATAGTATCCAGCGCATATCTGCCTCTCCGATAGAAGTATGGGTTCATTTGAAAAGGCTTCTCGGCAAATATTTAGTGGTAATAGAGGGACAGATACTTTCTGAAGAACATCAGGGAAAGGCGATCCTTGTTCTGTGAGTATAATAGAAATTGAATATGGTATGAACACATGAAATGATTTCAACGAAGTCCTGGCGATGTTCAGACAAAGAGGCTTACTGAGAAACTACGATTGGGAACTTGGTACTGATTAAATTTAGTTTTATTCAAGTCGTATAAATTTAAACACTTATGTTGCTCTTGACCTAGAATGGTATCACATGATTCCAGCATTGAAACTACTGCCACAATCTATACTACTCGGTGAAGTTACAGAACTTCCAATGTTTATTCGTCATTGCTAACTGTCCTTGTCAACACTCAACATTTCAATTACGGTGTTCTTTAACTTGATTCAAGTAGCATATTGACTCAGTATATCTGTAGGTCAATAACTTAAAATGAAATGTAAAACTAAATTATGAAGTCTTCTTTTCATTTGTTTTCGAAACCTACGGGCTTAAAAGTGAGTGAGTATGTTTTTACGCTGCTTTTAGCAATATTCCAGCAATATCACGGTGGGGGACGCCAGAAATGGGCTTCACACATTGTACCCATTTGGGGAATCGAACCCGGGTCTTCGGCGTGACGAGCGAACGCTTTAACCACTAGGCTACCCCACCGTCCGGGCTTATAAGTATATGTCTTGAAACCTTTGTGACAGAATTAATTAAGCATTTTTGGTCATTGATCATAAAAATTTGATTATAATAAGTAGGTACATCTAGTGTTAATGACAATGGAATCACAACGATTTGAGAAGCGTGAATACCTGTAACGCTTCCCCATCCTGTGACTATACATTGTGTCCCAGATGTATAAGTAGCAGATGCATCAGGGAGACATATACTTCTGAGGTTGGTGCTGATGTTCAGTGGGAGAGTATCACTAAGGGTCACAACAGCAACATCATTGTCATCTACAAACATCAACAGAATCAACGACTACTTTGGTCTCCCGTGTTTAGCGTTCTTTGGCCAACGGAAACCAGTATGGAATATATGTCATATATGCCTATCACAGTATTGTATATACATCTACATGTTATGAAACTTGTCAAATACAATATTCTGCACATACACGCTAAAGTAAAAACATATACACCTCTAAACGTTGAACACAGTTAGAAGGAATAATGTAATTATTAGTGAAGGAATATCTACTTATGCCTAACTGTTTGTTCTTATATTAGTAAATGTTTCAAATATTTGTGATGAAATACTGATGGAATGGGAAAGAAATAGATCGGAAAATACTGTAATTGATGCCTTCTCTGATACTGTTGCCATGCATATATGTAGTGCCAGTTATTATTGTTTCGCCTTCTTCTGGGCGTCCTGTTTCAGCTAGTTTGTACACATTTGGGTTGATGTGTACAATTAAGGAGCAAGTAATATGGAATGAGGTACATTTGTTCAACCTTCAGTTTATATGCACCAAATGGTTGGGACATGTTTTGGCTATATGTTCCAATCTATTGCACTTAAGAAACACACTCACAGTTGGAGCTGTTATAAGATGGGTGTACTGCAATTTCTTTGGCTTCCACATACGTGAGAGATGATTTGTTGGCGGAACCGTAGCCTACACTCAAATCCTTTGGACGTGGTATCAAATCACTGTGAAAGCAGAAAATAACATTATTGACATACATTGGGTCAGGAGTTGAGATGTGTATTCTAAAAGTAAATACATAGTTTACAAGAGCAGCATGTTCACGTGAAGCAATGCCCTTCATTTGGGAAATCAAAAAGGTCGGAGTGGACACCTTAACCAAGCTGCTATTGTACGGCCACTCATTTTGACATGAGTTTGATAAATCACACTCTCTATATCTTAGCTCTTTCTATCAATTGATGTCGCATTAATAATTTTAGAGAGTCAGGTTAAACTAGACAGTATACAATAAGCGATGCAGTGATCGTAGTTAGAGAGGAATGCACATGTGTCACAAGGTCAAACTTTCACAATCAGATTCACTTTGAGTGATTATTTTACGTCGATGTACTCATGTTGATAATTAGCCACCCCGATGCTAAGACATATGTGTCTAGGCGATGACAGTAATTACAACCATTGACATACATATAACACTCTTCGAAACGACATATACTCAACTTACATACTGTAGATACACCCGAAGATCCGGGTTAGAATTGATCTTCAGTAACCCATGCTTGTAAGAGGCGACTTACAGGATCGAGTCTTCAGGCTCGCTGACTTGGTTACCACACGTCATCATATCCCAATTGCGTAGATCGATGCTCATGCTGTTGATCACTGGACTCTATTGTCCACACTCGATTATTTACAGACCGCCGCCATGTAGCTGGAATATTGCTGAGAGCGGCGTTAAACAACAAACAACGTACCTGACGCAGTGTGCTGCTGTAAGTATGGAGTTCTTGCTGATAATCGACGCTCCGCAAAGATATTTACTACGTCCTTCTTTCAAAAGATGAACAGTCCAGGGAAACTCCCCGTCCAAAGCGTCTATACCACCAACTATCTTGACCGTTGGGTATCGAGATGCATTGCCTGTGACCGAACTGAATCCACACGAAGGGGTTGGGTCTGGAAATAGGAAAATACATATGTGAAGGTAGGGTACTCCGTCAACATTAATTCCCCTTCTGCCCAGACTTTTCTACAATGGTAACGATCTAAATGAAGTCTGTATTTCCTCAGATTCTGAATCTCCCATCAAACTAGCGCTCCTTTTCAGTTTAAAGGCGTTATTTGTTTCTATTAAAATAAATATCTTGTTATTTCAGCATTCCATAAATGAATGAATGAGCTGGTTTTAACGTCACTTCAACATTACAAATTCTACTATTGAGTTTGCACTGACAAGATAGTCCCACAGATTTACCCGACTCGCCATTCATATCTTCCCACGTACCACTGTTCTAAGACGGCCCTTTAAGGTGCGAATGTTCAGGATTCGTGATTGGTTGCAATCAGATTTAGTTGTACAAACAGCGACGTTGTTTCAAAGGTGATCATTCGCAAAGCCTCGGTGATTTCCGTATGTTTCGGGAGAACTAGAACCTCTTCACCTGCGCGATGCGCCAAAGTTTCGTCTAGACAGAACTCAGTCATGTAATGGCGGATCGCTCTCGTTGACTACCGACAAGCTTGCCATTAAATGTTTTGTGTGTCACATTAACAAAAACATTTTGTCGATTAATTCCTGCACTCTCTATTGCTAGTTTCTGATTTTCAGTTTATCATGAAATACCGAATCTGTCCTTCGCATGTTGGTCAACTTACTCCATGGCGGCCGCCATATTGGATGTAAGTCGATGTAACACGTGTTCTGGTTGGATAGAAAGAAGGGAGATAATTCATGTTGATTTTACGAGAACCGGGAAATATGGCCGCATTAAAACAGAGGTGACCTCTGTGGGAAGAGAATGCTGAATCACCTGTGAGCTACCCAATGTGACAGTTTGTCATAAACGTTTGAAGATGACTACATTTTAATACATATTGATCAAGTCCTACCTGTGCATCGATAGTAAAACAACAGCAGAAAGCAGAGAGGGGAAATGTTGGAACAATTCCGGAAGTGAAGACACAAGCTGGCCCGTACGTCTTCAGTGGCTAGCAATATATAAACATATATCAACAGTTAATGAAAACTCATGGACGCACGCGAATATGATTAAATGGACTATTTATGAGCACCTCATCTATTTCTTACAAGCACACCCTTCATGTACTTGCCAACGATAAAATAAAACATTATTTAAAACTTTTAGTGTGTGAGAGTGTACAGTTGTAGCAATATTCAGCCGGGGGACACAAGGAATTATCTTCACACAAATGACCCATGCGGTAATCGAACTCGTTGTATTGTTGTTCACGCTATCAACCACTGGTTTACCACCTACTTTGAGCATGACCCTTGTGATTGGATACAGTGCTATAATATTACCCATCATCATTATCATCATCATCATGATGTCGAGACTCGGATATTTACAGATCCGCGTTTAAAAACTGTATTATTGCCCACAGAGGAGAAAGAAAATCTTTAAACATTTTAATATTGTGTTTATCAACCTAAATAATGTACATTGTGAATTCAAATCACTCACCTGTAAACGTGGAGATACACACAAGCGTCAAGACACACCCTGTTATATCATATCTACCAAATGCCATCTTGAATGCGGTAGAGAGATTACTTCTTTCGTCTGTCCAGAACCAAATCTAGGTGTCTGGTATATTCTGTCGCCTTATAAGTACAATCCTCGTTGCTTCAAAATATCAGAAGTGCCGATAAGATTCCCGATGATGGTTAGATGTAGAATCACCTTATTCGTCAAACCTGTGACAATGGGGAAATCCACACACGCTGTACCACCCAAGATACGCCATTGCGGGTTCAACACATACTGGAGTTTTTCAGCAATGATAATATCATTTTGGTCATTGTGTCTATTATCGCTGTGCTTATTCTATAAGTGTTGACATATGCATCGTTAGGATGGCAACACCAGACAGTTAGAAGTACTTCCTCCTACAGAAAAGACCTTTTGAACTTGGCTCGTTCTATTTGAAGACGTGCGATGTGGACGAGGAAGAGATGTCGCTGGTGCATTGTCCAACCCAGTCTTGTAAATATGTTTCTTGTCAAAATCGTGTGTACATATGACCCATAGGCCAACACTGCTTGTATCTATGATTAAACATATTATATTTTAAAAGAGGTCGTGTGTGTACGTAACACATCTATGTAAAGAATGACTGAAGATCTATATTCTATTTACAACCCTCACAGAAGAAATATCCTAGCAAGATTGACAAAAAAACTTTTCTTTACATTTACTAGTCAAAGATACCTTTCTTCTTATGTAATGTTCACGTATCTTTGCAAACGCGTCACACTGAAATACTGTGGGAAAGTAAACAACTTTGTATTTAAACAATGACAGAGAACCAGTTTGATTGTTCCTTTGTGTGTCATAATCAGTCAGGGACCGCCTCCGTGGTGTAGTGGTTAGAGCGTCCGCCCGGAGAGCGGAAGGTCGCGGGTTCGATCCCCGACCGCGTCATACCAAAAGACGTTAAAATATGGTACTTGTTGGTCCCTGCCTGGCGCTCGGCATTAATGGGTACATCAAGGACTGGTCGGCTCGGAGTCAGTATAATGTGTCTGAGTGGGGTATTCATCCTTCACTGCGGCATGGTATCTCAGTGAGCTAGCACTATAAAACCAGCTTCAGTCTGGGCTAGTACAAGCAGCCGCACATACACACGCACACACGCATGCACGTTGTCATATGAGCGAAATATTCTCAAGCACAACGTTAAACCCAATTTCACCTCACCTCACCTCATAATCAGTCAGCACTCGGGATCTTGATTTGGAGCGCCGTAAACAACATTTCATAGGTTAAAGGAATTTGAGCGTTATGTGAAAGGAAAATTCAAACCCGGCCTTTTGTCATGACGGGTGAACAAGGCTATTCCATCGCCCTTATCATAAGAGAAGTCACGCAGGCCATCAATGTGTAGTGTTAACTGGAAGGGTTTTTCATTGTGTAACAGATATATACTATATAGGTGCGCGCGTGTGTGTATGCGTGTCCGTGTGTGTGCGCTATTTGGATAGATTAGGTACATAAGGTGAACTAACTCATGCCTTTCATCTGACATTACATTGAGTCTCAAGAAGATCAGGATTTGTGTGGTGATCATTCTTACCCTGGATTCTATACCTACGCCTATTTTGGAAATGTGATCATTGTTGCAGTAAGGTGAATTCTTCACATATACCACACCTCTGTCTTTACTACTAATGTACTGCACTTGTACTGCCTTTGTAGTACGTTGTATTAATTTGTAAATTTAGTAAATCTGACAATACAATTGTTATTTTTATCACATAACTTTGTTGTTAGATGGTTTTAAGCAGATATATTTTGTGAGATGAATTTCCGGTTAACTACTGCAACTTGGAAATCAACATGTAACAGTAGATACACACAGCATCAAAATTATAATGAAACTGCCACTAAAACCCTCTATCCGCAGATCCTTATGCAAGTAACAAATTACTTGGATCGCCATACCCCAACTTGTATCTACAATCTACAGACAATGCATCATTCAAGTGTATTTATTTAACATATTCCATCTTAAATAATACATAACCGTTTAGTTACCTTAACAAGTCATGAGGATACATAACCATGATATCTAAATGCGTCACATCAGTAATATTGATGTACATTATTCAGATGTGTTCAGTGTGCGTTTACAGCCAATGTTAACACATCCTGACGGTCGAGCTGGTGTTCCTCCCATTAGTTAGGTTATCTGCGACATTATCCAGTCAACATATTGCGGGACGTTGGTATAAACTCCTGGAGACTGAGCTCGGCCACAACCATTTCCTCTGGATACCACACCGTATAAAACCCATTTGTCCCCATCAGGACACATCAGTGGACCTCCGGAATCTCCCTGAAACAAACCATTCAATGCATCAGAAGGAGCTTAATCAATATCACAACTTAGTTACCATTCATATTGTCTTTGATTCAGCGAAAAGTCATTCTTATGTTAAACTATACGCCAACTATAATCATAAACGTTTCATGACTGCGTGTAGGCTTTCGTTGTGCAAGTTGTCGTGAAATATCGGGATAGAACAAAAGCAAAATTTCATCATTTGATACCTGTTCAATTTTTGAAAAAATTACCAAACGGTTTTCCCTTGAAGAAAGTCCAAAGATCCAAAGGTCAAGAAAGTCAGACAATCTTTCAAATTCTAGATGATGGGTATGAATTGACATTACTTATAGCAGACTGTCCAAGACACGATATCATTGTCCACGCACCGAACAGGCATCAATTCCTCCAGTGCCAAAATACCCGGCACACAGCTGTCTGTCCGAGACAAGTACGAATGAATTGTCTGCATAGGATCTTTGACAGGAGTTCAGGGGGACCAATGGCACAGCTGCCTTTTGAAGACTATCAGGGAAGCTATTACCGGTTTCTGAAAAGAACAAGGAAGAACTGACTCACTGGACGACACATGATGGCATTTATTTGTAATGCATGTTAGCATTTCATAGAAAAATGTGTGTTTCCTGCTTGAGAGACGTTATGAGAAGCAGTTATTTGGTGAAGTCGTCATGCGAATAGTATTGGATTAATTTGCAATAGATATCGCCCATTTTCATCAGATGTTAATAAAAGAACAAAGTTCCATAAAAGTTATTCTTAGCTTCAGTCGGAAATATACCGGCTTCAATTTCAGAAGTGGAATGGTATTTATTGCTATATGATTCTATAATTCAGTTTTGTATATTTCGTAAGAATGTCCGTCATTGACCACAAAACAAAACTGCGATACAGCAGGCAGTTGGTGAAAAAGTAAGAGACTGTTTAGCTGAAATATAATCACTGAAATGAAACTTAAGATATAGATTATAAATATCTGCTTGACCTATTTATGCCTTCGAACGACTTCACTGGTGATGACGTGATTCCTGAAATGTGGGGTTGAAAATGTGAATAAGACTCTCAAATGATTGAGCCGTGACTATTTAATGGAATGCTTACCATTTAGAATTCCCCATCCCGTGATAATACATCTACGGTTGCTGTTATAAGATGTCCCAGCTTCGGGTAGACATATACTTCTTAGACCGGTGTTGACACTCAGAGGCAAGGGCTTCATTAAGAATTACAACAGCGATGTCATTGTCCCCTAGAGAATGGAAACATTAGCATAACGACTTGAGTGAATGCTGTTTTACGTTATCGGCAATGTTCCAGATATGTTTCGGCGATAAATTATGTTCATGTTTTGTGTAGGATTCTGCTGATGCATATTGGATAAGCAATCGCCAACGTCCTCAAGTGCGATACCACTCAACCAACAACATCACCAAGACCGATCACCCGATCCAGTTCTTGTATAGCAGATAGCGGTGGGTACGTGGTTTAAACCAGACTAGGAAAACGACAAAACCCATTTTATTACTCCCGTCAAACAACCAGTATACCCACGTTTCCAGCTTCCTGGCTAGAATGCAACCTATAGGTGCTAATAGGTTACATTGTCATCTCATTCTATTCGCATCACAGCGTGATCAAAGTTTCTTGCCTTAAGTGATACTACTTGTGATACATAAACTCTAGTGTTTAGACGCTCTACCTTTCAGGCGTCAAGCTGTTGGTGATGGTTACCCATCCAACTTAAATCTGGGATCATTGTTGCTTAACTTCAGTGGAGTTATGCCTTGTGTGATCATGACGCTGTGCCATCTTTGGTAGAACAACAGGACCAGAGTGTAATATGTCTGGAAAGTCTGTTTGATTTTTGGTTGACGCCGCACTCAGCAATATTCCAGCTATTTGGAGCCGGTCTGTAATCAATCGAGTCAGTTCCATGTGTTTGTGAAAAGAGCCTTCTATCTCTTTGGGTCGTCTCATAACAGGTCTTATCTAATCGTGGCAATAAATCATAGCTTGCTGGTCATATTGTCAACAAATTGTCTTACCAAGATATAGATTTCCAACTAGTAGTATACTCAGTTGTGCATTGCTAGTATTGTAATTTTCAGTGTAACTGTTTCGATAACATGCCACCATTATGAATTACCGTACCATTTCTATCATTATAATCTGGATGGATGATGATCCGACTGGCCCGGACACGGACGAGGTTGGATCGTCTTGTAGATCCATATCCAACTGACAAGGAGTTTGGGCGTCTGACAACAGATCTGTGGTAACAAGCGTTCTCTTTACAGTGAAAATAGTTACGGTTGTATAAACTTTGATTACGTATAACAGCATTCGCATTTACGTTCACAGTTATATTAATAAACGTTGTGTTATGCATGACGCAGTCACTTCAACAAATGAAAGAAACGAAACCGTTTCTATAATCGTAATTAGACATTTGTGCTAGAAGCAGATTTCCAATAAGTCCTTATTATCAGCTTGTATTTATATACAAACATTAAAGATGATAATGACATGTGATTGCGAATGGTGATGAAACCCCCGCCCACCATTGACACCGAGAAACCTAAAGTGCGTATAGCTGTACCATAGACAGCCATGTATGGAACAGAAATAGAATTTAACGTTCGGTGTAATTCACAGTTGAGGGCGGTTGGAAGATGAATGGTGTACGACAAACATATGTACACATAGGCGGATGCAGAGGGGGGTGCAGGGGTACGCACCCCCACCTTTTTGTTCTGAAAGTATGTTAACTGGCCATTGAAACTCGGTTGGCAATGAAGTGTGCACCCCCCCCCCCCCCCTTTCTCAATAGTGTGCACCTCCCTTTCTCAAAAAGCTGTATCCGCCCCTGGTGACTAAAGTGATATGCTTCAACGCTACCTAACTTTACGCTCCAATTTTAGCATTGAATCACCCGTGTACATCCTTTCACTGATAAATTAATAAATTACAGAACGGCCATGGGTGACGTCATCTGTCTAATGTTTAGTACTCGTGTCTGGAGTAACCTTCCGCTAAGTCAGTTCTTTCTTTTGAACTGGAAAGACGAGATGGTAATGCAATGCAATAAGGTAAAAGAACGTTTCTTAAACACTCTAAAACCGTGAAATATCGACACAAACGTAAGTGAATTTGACTAAAGCTAAACCAAATCAGTAAATTGCTATCAGAAAAGCAATATAATTTACATACATACATACATACATACATACATACATACATACATACATACATACATACATACATACATACATACATACATACATACATACATACATACATACATACATACATACATACATACATACATACATACATACATACACACACACACACACACACACACACATACATACATACATACATGCATGCATGCATACATACATACATACATACACACAAACATACACACACACATACATACATACACACATACATACATACATACATACATACATACATACATACATACATACATACATACATACATACATACATACATACATACATACATACATACATACATACATACATACATACATACATACATACATACATACATACATACATACATACATACATACATACATACATACATACATACATACATATCCGGTCAATGCTGTCATCGTATCTTATAGTCAATCCTGTGAAGTTAAATATTTTAATTCGGTGGGTTTGCTTGGTATGTTTTTTCTTAATCCTAAGTAGAGGCATCACCTGACACAATGGGCGGCCGTGAGGATCACATCTTTCCTTATAATGGAGCCTCCACACATGCTGATAACGGCCTGTTCATCTACGACGTTCACTGTCCATGGGAACTCCCTCTCCTCCGCGTCGACACCACCGACAACACGTGGCATGGCGTATAGGGATGCTCTTCCTGTCACGCGGCTCTCCCCGCATGCCGGTCCTGAATAAAACCAGACATATGACCTAAAACAATGTCAACATAATGTAGCTAACTTATCCCTTTGAATATTTATGCGTTGTTGAAGGACAATGCTTTTATGGTAAAGGTTTCCGCTTTTTGTGTATGTAGTGCTCATTGTTTCTAAAGGTAGTGCATGGAAAGTTGTACGTTTGATATAATAGTCATAAAATTAACTATTTATCACGTGCTAATATATTCTTTCAGTAGGGTGAATATGATTACAGTGATTTACAGTCTGTTTGCAGTGAACACGTACCGATGAATTTCACTTTAAACTAAAAAGTAAATAAAATAAAGTAAAATTAAGATTGCGAATCCTCATAATTTTACCTTGCCAATTGGACATTTAAATCTGAGAATTTTATTTCACTTAGGATAAAAGTTGTTTAACAAACGATCATAGTTTTAAATCGCTATTATTAGTTTGAATTACCAGGGGATATGCAAATTAAATGAAACACCGAAAACAAGGAGGGTTGGTCTAAATTAACGCTCATCACGTACTGCACGTGCATTTGTTTCACTGTTCAATCTACTGCACTTACCCCCTTGTAATACAAACCAATAATAGCGATTTGAATCTATGATCATTTGTTAAGAAACTTTTATCCTAAGTTAAATAAAATTCTGAGATTTAAATGTCCAATTGGCAAGGTAAAATTATGAGGATTCGCAATCTTAACTTCACTTTATTTGATTTACTTTTTAGTTTAAAGTGAAATTCATCGGTACGTTTTCACTGCAAACAGACTAATACATTTTCTACACACATCAAATTGAGGACATGAAGTTTGAATAAACATTTTCATGATAATTATACGAATTGTAGTAGCGAGTGAGTATGGTTTTATGCCTCCTTTAGCAATATTCCAGCAATATCACGGCGGGGGACACCAGAAATAGCCTCACACAGTGTACCCATGTGGGGGAATCGAACCCGGGTCTTTGGCATGACGAGCGAACGCTTTAACCACTAGGCTACCCAACCGCTCGGCAAAACAATTGTAACTATATGTGCGAACATTTGATTAGCGACATGCTATGGAACCTATTGTGTCTGTAACTAGAGAAATAGACACAAGAAAAAAAAACATGTTGGGGTAAATCATGAAGTTATACATATCTTATCCGTCAACACCTGAAACTAACGGTAATTGATGTAACTAATGTGGTTAATATGCTTAAATACATTACCAGTATTTCTCTGAATGTTGAAATCAGTACAGTTGTAGTATCCAAACAATACAGGGCAGAGTAGAGAGGAGGCGAAACAGTTCAGTAAAGAATTACAGAAAGCTGCTCTGTCTTGGGCGGCTGAAATATATGAAAGACCATTAAACCACTTTTCACAGTGTCATTACTTCAGTCAAATGTGCTTCACACAATGGATGGGTATATTAACCCGGGTCTAGACATGATCCCGGGAATAGTGCATTGTCGTTTTGGCTTTTTTAAATAAGAGAAAAAAGACTCCATTGTTGTTAGGGCAAATCACATCCATTGTAATCACACGCACGCACGCACACAAAAACGCTCCCGCGCACTCACATACACGCACAAACACGCACGCACACACAAACACGCAAACTCAAACGCACTCAAAATCATACAAACACACACACACACACACACACACACACACACACACACACACACACACACACACACACACACACACACACACACACACACACACACACACACACACACACACACGGCTTACCTCCATTCCAGCATAAGAAGCTCACAATGGTAACACGTAAAAACACGCCTCTTCTTATACTCAAAGTCATTTCTTGGTCCCGTAGTTCACAATATCAGATCATATTTTCTCATCTGCTGTGGATATGACCGAAACCCCAGAACAAAGACCCGTTTCTGCTTACAATTTCAGCTCAGTAAACCAAGCCTTAAAATAACACTATCGTATGTTTACGAACTCATTGATACCCACTCAAATCCGGGTTCTTATCAAAAGCAATTAACGGGAGAGCGTCAGCTGAGATCTGTCAAGCTGCACGCTTTGAAGTATGTACCCAGGTAACAAGCGGGCAATTGAACCTTGAAGCTAATGATTGTTTGAAACAAACTACAAAGAATTATGCTAAGACATTGGTGTGCGCATAGATTATTTGTAGTTCATAACAGCATTCAGTCGTTAGGTAACGAGGACAAATCCTATCGAAATACACCTATGCTAGCATATGCAGTTTTGCTTACGTCATGTTTAGTCAGGATTAACGTGAGACAACACAAGCCTTTCGAATACCTTCCATGATTCTAAATGCAGCGACACTGGTGATTATCCACCGTTATAAAACACGTTCTTACTTTAGCGGAGTCGTGTCTGGTCGAGACTCGAGTGTTTACAAACCAGATAATACAGCTGTAACACTGACGAAACACATGCATAGTATATACAGTCAGAATTGTACAATCGACTCTTAGCAGAGTTTTCCTGTGGATACGTTTTTTCCTTTCCAGGAATCGTGTTTAGTCTTTGTCAATAGGCATTCTCGTTTATATATATTTGATTTTAAAAAGAGCTTCTCATTTCGATGTCTTTATATACTGTCAAATGCTTAAAGCTGAATATCCTTCTGTAACGTGATACAATGAGGTGTAATGTTCAAATGTTCTGCAAAAGATTTCTTAGAATTTAATATTTTAATTTTATACAGGATGGGTAGCAATGATGATAATTTATGGATATACAACTTCTTTATTATGTGAAAGGCAACGTTTTGACATAAATTCTAATGTCGTTGTCAAGCACTTGCTTCACTTTAAGCTCTGAAATTATCATCATTCTTCATCACCTCAACTTCTAAAATGCCCATCAAAGAAGAAAAAGGATGGGTAGTTCAAAGTACCCTGGACATAGATATCTGAAGTCATGATCATGGGCAGTTTGTCAGACCAGTGGAAATTTATTTCAACCTCACTTATAGGTATAAATTATACATTTCATTGCCTGCTTTAGATAACTGCTCAAACCATCATGATACTGTGAAAAAGATAATGACCTATTTGAAAAATCTGTTTTGGAGATTTTTTAGGTATATTCCGTGGCCCAATGATCCAATGCACTGAATTTCACTACCACATAATCTCATCTATTATTCCTTTAGATTTTTGTCATTAACAATCGCAGCTTTTAGAGACGAGTATTATATATCTCAGCCATATAAAACCTTAAAAATATTATTTACTTTCCTTTTGTATGAAAAATCACATGTTCGTAGACGGAAGAAATACATTGCCACGGATATATGACAACAACATTCATTTCTAAAGATTAATTATAGTTACATTCCCGATGTATATGTGTTAAATTCTGTCGTAAAAATGCTTCTGTCCTTTTGCATCTTAACAGGTAAGAAATACTTGATGATGGTGATTTGGAAACATATATAATGCGTATTTCGCTCACGGGACACAGTAGTAGTAAACTGCTTATTAAAGTGTCACATGCACAACATTTACAGTAAAATACAATTCACATATAACAATTTAAAGGAAGTGCGTCCAGCCATACATGGGCTTACGAGACACTATAAATACATTATAACTAGATTAATGGTATACACATAATGATATATAATATGGGAGATAGATATTTAGGCAGATCGTAGATAAGACACGCTAATAACAACAACAGACTCCTCGATGAAACAACAAATTCTTATAGTAATCATAATTTTAGTACACATACATCAGACATAATTGCAATAGATAGAATATAAAAAGAAATAACTACAAAAAAGAAATTATGTCTTTAAAAAAGACACATGCTAAAGACATTTTTATAGTTGACACTTCCATTAAATTTAATTCTTTAATTTACCGCTCAATTTTGACTCAATAGATATCTGTGTGTTCACATGCTTCCTTTGATCTTAATTGTACTTTGATTAAAAACACAACCGATTAGCCTTTAAGACCTACCCTGTGTATGTTGACCCAGGTACAACATACAAAAGCCATGGAGTGAGAATCAGACAGGATCATCCTGTGAAGCAATGTTGAGGGGCCAACTATCTTGAATAATGCGATTCCTTCTTGTCATCAGTCTATTGTTCTGTTCATGTAATTGTTTTCCTGCACAAAGAATTGAAGGTATGTGAATGTTATAATGCATTAATTATCTTCCAATATGTAATTGCATGTGACAGAGCTACAGAATGAAAATATGCCACAATATTTATGTAATTTTCAGCATAAACTGCTTTGCCTTGTGTTGTTCCTTCCAACAAATATTTACATTGATAGTTAATTGTTCCGCTTGGGTATGATATAAAGTGTATTGCGAAAAATTAACGATGCACGTATTCTACTTGCTAGAGGGTAATGAGTTTGATTGTACTTTCATGTAATTATCTTTTGGAAAATAGTACTTTTGTCAGTCTTTAATCATAATGTAGCGTAGGTTTTATGCCGATTGCTAAGTAAGTAAAGTTTGAAAAAAACACCTGCATCTTTAATTACTTTACTGTCTGTTAACTAAAATTACTAACAATAAATAAACAACATCAGTTGCAATGGACATAATACTATTTAAGTGAAACGTTTATGTAGGGAAAATATTATGCCTAAACTATCTTTAGGATAAAGAAATTTTCTTTGCGTCAACAATCAAGGATCTAATTTATTAATTATTTTATGAAGAGTTGTGCAGGATCCTGACCAATCTCCGTCATGATGCGCATTCCCAACAACTGTCTGACATTCTTGACTGTGATAAAATGTGTAAGTACATTCATACCATCATCACAGTACTTTTATTCAAACTGGATGTTGTTTTAAAGTGATGAAAGATGATATTTCAAAATTGACAATGCTTTAGACAGGAAATATTAATGAGAATTAGTTAACATACTAATTCAGTCATATTGTTATGTCATGTATATTTTATACATCTATCATATTTCTTCATAATTGTTTTTGAACATACACGAGTGTATGGTGATATATGAAAAATATTTTTGTACCTTTGTACCATTTCGTCGAAATATAACATCAATAGATCAGGTACCTTCTGGTCCGTTGTATTTCGAACTTACAACATGCAGTGCACTTCATTTAAACTATGTAATAAATTTAAACATATATTGTTTTCCAGTATCGTCATGTGGTACAGTGCAGAACAGAAAGTGTCCTCAACCATGGATAGTTCTAGTTCGTGACAAGAAAAGGAATGCTGATATGTGTGTTGGAACGTTAATAGACGAGAGACATGTCATCACTGCTGCCCATTGCTTCAATCAAAGGTACGAACCTCACACAACATTTTAACTTCTGATCGGGGGTGGGGGTGGGGGGAGTGGGGGTGGACTTACATAATTGGCAGGCGGTCCTAACAACCCATCAAATGACATCTGCTGGGTAGAGGACGGCCGCTTGTCTTTAATGTATGGTCACCCTTTAATGTATGTTTTTGTAAGATAAGATAAGATGAGATGAGATGAGATGAGATGAGATGAGAGATGAGATGAGATGAGATGAGATGAGATGAGATGAGATGAGATGAGATGAGATGAGATGAGATGAGATGAGATGAGATGAGATGAGATGAGATGAGATGAGATGAGATGAGATGAGATGAGATGAGATGAGATGAGATGAGATGAGATGAGATGAGATGAGAGGGTTATGAAAAATAATGATGGCGAATTCAGTTTCTTATATTTTCCACGCACGCTGAAGTGTATTTGTTATTGGAGCGGTATATGTATATGATGGAATGTGAATTTACGAGTTTTCATGCATTTTACCAGCCCTTCCAAATTCACAACTCCTTAAAGATTTTCAATGTCATTTTACATTTACTAAAAAGTAATTCTCCATGAGAAAATCAAGCTGCTTACTTAACAGGAGATAGAAAAACCTCAAAAATATAATTTCTGTCAAATCCGATTGGCAAAATACAGTCATGTTATAAGCAATGCATGTCTACATAATTATAAAACATTATGCTTGACGCTTCACTTTTTACTTTTCACCAGTAGAGAACAGATGGTTTCCACAATGTATATTTTATGGAATATGTTTATAAAACAAGATGCAGATTCCTGATTGTCGTTGTAAGGTACTACCTCCCTGATGATGTCCATGTCGGTATGGGTTCACAAGCGAATGGACAGCTTACCTACATAGACTTGAAATCCTTCACGCGTCACCCGAAATTCAGGAGCACTGGTTTACCAAGTAAGTTCTCACAGTACCTTTTCTATAATCACACTAAATCGTTCCTAAAAGCGGAGTCGATTACACAATTCTTTTATCTTAAAAGTATATGTTCACGAATCACTATCAAACAGTATAAATATCGGGTGTTACTCAAAGATACCCTCCTAGATATTTAATCCATTCATAAGCCTCTAGGATTTTTATGAGGAATCTATTACCACGGAAACCTACTTTTTGTTTGTTCAGAAAGGTGACGACATGTTTAACGGACGCCATGTCATAGAATGAAATATTTCTACAATGTGGGAATTAATCTAAAGATACCTAACTGACAAAAGTAATACACAGTGAATGTACATTCTGTTAAACCGAAAATGAATAGTTAATGCATATATTTATGGAGTGCCAACAATTTACAGAACTGTGGTCAAAATCTGAACATTTCATAACAATATTTTGACAATTCATTTTGACAAAGACTTAATTCTGTGTTGCTTTACACCAAGGTTCCATAAGGTATATATTTTGTTTATATCAATTATGAAAATTTAATCTCATTCATATCTAAAATTCTCAAAACATAAAAGTGGAAAAATCAGTTGCCATAAGAAACTATCTTACGAAGGGAATTGACACATTAAAATTGTATTAGAATACTGCTGTCCTTGCATTATCCACTGATCTGTACATCTAAACTGAACGCCAAAATAGATGTTACACCTCTGAACATTAGAATATCCTTAAAGATACCTAACTGACAAAAGTAATACGCAGTGAATGTACATTCTGTTAAACCGAAAATGAATAGTTAATGCATGCATTTATGGAGTGCCAACAATTTACAGAACTGTGGTCAAAATCTGAACATTTCATAACAATATTTTGACAATTCATTTTGACAAAGACTTAATTCTGTGTTGCTTTACACCAAGGTTCCATAAGGTATATATTTTGTTTATATCAATTATGAAAATTTAATCTCATTCATATCTAAAATTCTCAAAAACATATAAGTGGAAAAATCAGTTGCCATAAGAAACTATCTTACGAAGGGAATTGACACATTAAAATTGTATTAGAATACTGCTGTCCTTGCATTATCCACTGATCTGTACATCTAAACTGAACGCCAAAATAAATGTTACACCTCTGAACATTAGAATATTCTAAAAATGTTAGATGGATAGAAGTCTTTGGTTTGGTATGTTTTAACAACCAATCATGTAACTCTATTGAGTCAAAACATCAGACTGAGGAATTCATTGATAATTAGGATATCGACATGTTTGTTTAGGTGGGGTGCATTGTCCTATTTTCAATCATGTAAAAATTCAAATCAAAAGTGTAAAAAACAGTTAAAAATGGGTCCAAATGATATTGTTTATGATGATAATTCATGCACATTCACAAAGAGTGATAAAGTTGGGTTTTGGATATGAAAGAATGGTTGTTTACCGTAAAAAGGGACCCAATGCTGAAATTGGATTTTTGTCTCTTTAAAACACATTCCAACCACTTGAGGTTTAATTTTTGGATCATCATGACTTTCGACTGTTTTAGGAAGAGTCGTCAAACGAGAAAAGACTAATTTTTTCCCTTAGATACTGTAAAATTTTGCCTATTTCTGTCCTTGTATAAGGAAGCATAACGCCAAAACGTACCCATTGTAACTTCACCTTGCATGAAATGCACGTGAAAACTGTTGGAAACGGGTATATAAGGCCCCTAGATTTATCATTTCACACCATACATTCACTACAATGCCGAGATTAACAGCAGAAGAGCGGGAGAGGGCCATTGGAATGCTGCAGACTGGGTCGACTGATCGGGAAGTGGCTGCTGCATTCGGGTGTCATCGCCTCACCATTCTAAGGCTGCGTCAGCGATTCCAGAATACTGGCACAACAAGAGACAGACCCAGAAGCGGGAGGCCACCAGTTACAACCACTTCCCGATCAGTCGACCCAGTCTGCAGCATTCCAATGGCCCTCTCCCGCTCTTCTGCTGTTAATCTCGGCATTGTAGTGAATGTATGGTGTGAAATGATAAATCTAGGGGCCTTATATACCCGTTTCCAACAGTTTTCACGTGCATTTCATGCAAGGTGAAGTTACAATGGGTACGTTTTGGCGTTATGCTTCCTTATACAAGGACAGAAATAGGCAAAATGTTACAGTATCTAAGGGAAAAAATTAGTCTTTTCTCGTTTGACGACTCTTCCTAAAACAGTCGAAAGTCATGATGATCCAAAAACTAAACCTCAATTGGTTGGAATGTGTTTTAAAGAGACAAAAATCCAATTTCAGCATTGGGTCCCTTTTTACGGTAAACAACCATTTTTTCATATCCAAAACCCAACTTTATCACTCTTTGTGAATGTGCATGAATTATCATCATAAACAATATCATTTGGACCCTTTTTTAACTGTTGTTTTGCTCTTTTGATTTGAATTTTTACATGATTGAAAATAGGACAATGCACCCCACCTAAACAAACATGTCGATATCCTAATTATCAATGAATTCCTCAGTCTGATGTTTTGACTCAATAGAGTTACATGATTGGTTGTTAAAACATACCAAACCAAAGTCTTCTATCCATATAACATTTTAGGATATTCTAATGTTGAGTGGTGTATTATTTCTTTTGGTGTTCAGATTATAAAACAGTTGTACTGACTAATAAAGAGAAATAAGAATATACCAGGTGTTCGCAAAAAGCTAAACGTACCCGTCCCTGTCATGCGTTGATACAATCTACACAATAATGTTCAGATAATGTGATTCTGTTAGAACATGTAGACCTCACTGGCACGGTTGATCCATGAAGACATGTCAGTTATATGCGCATTTCTAAAAGGGTTAATGTAGTGCCTGCGCCATGTTTCAGAAGACGACCTGGCAGTTCTTACCTTGCAGAGGAAGGTTCGGTTTGAGCCATGTGTTCAACCAATATGTATTCCTGGAATAGCAAGCAATCCTGAAAAAGGGAGACCTGGTCACAGTCGTAGGATTTGGGCGTAAGAAGATTTTATTATACCCGATAGCATTGCAAGCATGAAAACGTTTCTGTCAGTTGTTCAATTCATCTCCAGTTACTATAGCCCGTGTTTTATACTGTATTGTCCTCTTTAATTGAAATGTTTTAGCTTTGCTCACTAGTTTTATTCATATCTGTGATTATCTAGTATTTTTACTGTCCATCGTCGACAGGTTTTAATCTTCAAAACGTTTTTCTCTTTATATTGTATAAATTGTTTTCGTCACGATATGGCTGAGATATTGCCGATGTGACGTTAAATAATAACTCACTCACTCACTCATCTCCAGTTATTTTCCCGTTTAAACTGAAATATAAAAAAGGGAAATAACTAAAGAAAGTATAGTCTATGATAAGAATGGAATTTAAATGTTTCTTCTATTTTTCTATCTCTGTTTATGGGATACATTTATTTACTGGTGCTTCCAGCCTTGCTGTGTACTGTTTTGGCCTGAGTCAAACTTCAAGTGTATCCATAATTTTGATCGCATATTTAAATGATATTTTAATATAGTATGACTTTTATCTAATGCTGTAAGGTTTTTGGAACAAAGGAAGAGCAAGATTGCAGTCAGCTGTGGTGCCAGTAATTAGTCGTAAGCAGTGTGGATGGATCTACCCAGAAATGATGTCACTGCAACATTCGATCTGCGCTGGATTGGGTTCCAGCATAATTTCATCAGTCTGTCACGTAAGGAATACATTATGTCTCATTAATGATAAAATAAGAGGCACATGGGTACAATGTGTGAAGCCCATTTCTGGTGTCCCCCACCGTGATATTGCTGGAATATTGCTAAAAGCTGCGTAAAACTAAACTAAGTCAGTCTGTCATTCGTTAATAGCATATGTACAGGTTTTTTTTATATATCTGGGGTAATAATTATTAGATAAATTTTCAGATTATTTTTACATTATAGCGTACCATTAACATTAAACATAATTTTACAATTGCAGGACAACTCAGGAGCCCCGATGATCCTTCAGCGAGAAAATAAGTGGTTTCTGTACGGGATCAGCACGTCACACCGAAGCTGCACAGACGCTGTGTCTGTATACACTGATATTCCTCATTATGCATCCTGGATCAGCGGTGTTAAATAATATGATCAGCTATCTTAAAAGACATCACCATTCAATCTTGAAATAGATGCATGATCAAAATGAACACTTACTGTTCAAAACATTTTAGTTTCTAGTTTCTGTTTTGTTTAATGCACTAACGCGAGTGTAAAACTTGGAACTATGAAATAAACATAATTCAATGTTTCAGTCTTATTAACTTGGGTTACATATGTTTTGAGAACTTAAGGCGTAACGTCCCTTTAAAATCATGAGATAAGACATTTATCCATATAAAATCGCATTAACAGGCCTATTATCAGTCAAATAACACATCTAATATTGCAGAATTATCTTATTTATATCATACAAAATGACGTCATATCAACTTTGTTCCTTGTTACAGTTTTCATTTCGCAATACTGTGGTCATCATAGTGACATTGTGGAAATTGAATTTGATGTTGTTTCACGGCAGTTGTTCTGATATTACTTTGACGACACAAGTAGCATTGGGAGACAATCCTTGTTTCCATCAGAAAATAAACCTCAATATTGATTAACAAAGCATTTTCAACCCTTCCTTCCCTCGTGCTATATCCATGCAATTCATTCCATACCAACACACCTTACACTTTGATATCTACAGTCATCTTCTGGTTTTAATTGAAAAAGGTTAACGTATTTACACATACAACTTCTAATTAGATCAGGCTTTATTGCTCATATTGTAATAAACCCTTGAGTAGGCAAGGTACTTAGTATTCTTGACCAGTTGGATGTAGGTTTACCAGATAACACTTGTATGCAACACATTCACAGGTTCCAACGGTTACAAGGGTCTTATGTAAAAGCTTTTAAGTAATGATGAACCCATTGCACTGAGTAGTTCAACTGTCCTCGTTTCAAAGTTGGTATCCATGTTAATTTGAAAAAAATCCTTCACATTTTTTAACTTGGACCGTGATACATTGACAAAGATGTCTATATATATCCTCATGAAATATTATAACCAACTCCATTAGAATGCACATATGTATGAAAACAATAATTATCAATAAAAACGAAAATGAAATTGTCATTTTACCGGTGTCAAAATTGTCTTTGTGTGAAAAAATGTGTATTCAACTGTGATTAGCATTTGCTTCCTATCTTCTTTCTAACAGACCTTTCAGATCAACTTAATGGATTGAAAATGCTGAAGTAGTTTAATTCATAGGGCTTTTCAAAAGTACATGCTCATCAGAGTTCGCGCAGAGCTGTTTTATGTATTCTACATGTACCACTCGAATGGATGAACAGTACCTAATTAACCCTTCTGAAGTTGCTTCTCTTAGTACCAGAACGTCCGCTGCATAGCACCTTCAAACGCCTTAGGGACTTTCTCATTTTTGTTCCACATGATATAAGAGACTGATTATGGTAATCAGGATTACAGGAAAGAGGTAACAAGTAATAGAAATACAAAGTAACATATCATTAAAATGGAGTGTTATGTGAAATGCACATTAATATTTCACTACAATGAAGTGTTATCTGAAAAAGAATTATATCCCATAATAGATTTCGCTTAAAAATTGACCTGGATGATACAATTTGAAAACCCAAGCCATCAAAAGGATATGCTTTCATGATATGTTTGTCTGTCTGTCTGTCTGCCTCTCACGATGGAACAGTCATTTTTACACTTTTTATGCTCCAAAAGTTATCCATTTCGTCAGTTTATAAAATGCCTCTCTGCTTAAAATGGACAGGCTGGCTTAATCTGGAAAGGTTATGAAGGGCTTAAATTTCGCATCCCAATAACAAAATATGGTTGGACCTGAAGCCTTTCTTCCTTCTGACATACAAATATAATAGCATTATAATATGATACATGAACATAGATAAAAAGGTAATTCATCAACGCTTGTTACCCTGAAGTCACTAAGTGATAAACACATTGATGAAAAATAAAAAATTGAATAAAGTGCCAATGTGAAATTACACTTTGACTGGTTTCACAAATTATAACATATTTCCTTATTAAGGATTTTGACAACAGGTTCTTTTGTTTGTTTGTTTGTTAATACAGACCAAATCTGCATGATCCCAATGCATAACAAGTGTTCTTGATGGCTATGGTATGAGCACAAAATGACATGTTTATCATTCAGACATGACTCCACAAACACGATAACAGTGAAAACAAACATCTTTTGTTACCATAACTAGATTTTCTGTGCGCAGAAGGATGCAGAAAAGAAGAAAGGTGTTTCGTGTAAAAAGGGATTATTATGAATAAACACTTCCTGGATCAAGTACATTACAACTGACTTGAACCTTGCCGATGACGACGTAGATCCAATGTTGACCACGAAGTCGTGCCAACCACGCATTGGTATACCTAACCTGCATATTCACCTGTTCGGGGGTTGACATCAGTGCAGGGGCAATCTATTGTCTCATTCGATAAAGAAGAGATAACCTACTTGTCTCGCGAACACAGACCTAAGTACATCTCAAACACCATTTAAAGAATGGGAATTTACACCAGCACCCACTTTGCTTGTAACCTAAGCTCAAGTGTAGCCTTTTATTTGCATCCGGTAATGGGGAAAGTAAAATAAATAATCCTTATCAAAAGATGGTGCAGGTTGGTTTTCAGAGGCTAGTTATAAGGAGGAGCCGCTGTGTTGTCTTGTATCATCCCAATGGGGGTCAACATAGGAAATAGTTGTAATTCTTGTACGCGTATTTAAGTAACGTTATGAGGGAACACCAGCCTTTGATGCGCCATTCTTGTCTCGTATACTATTACGGAAGATGAGAAGAGGAATCAACATAACGGGTAAAATGTGGACGAAATCTGCACTTTTACTTCTTATGCTATGTGCCACATTCCTGAAAACCGACTGTGCCAGTAAGTACTTGACCATTTTTAAATTGTATAAATGGCATATGCTGTTGCTATATTGATTATTTTTTAATGACATATTACAGCTGCCTTGTGAAGAAAGCTTTATTTCATATTTCTTTGCATCGTCATAATGCTGTGTCATCATCTCAAGCTTAGGTGCAGAAGAGTCATGTCATCTTTATTTCTGATCTATAACCACATAATATTTAATAAACTTCTTTGTTCGGTATAGCCAACATACATGTTGAAGGAAAAGCATTATATACACAGGAGTACAATGTTTCTGCTCGAAATAGTATTTTATAAATAGGTGGCAAAGACATGTATTGTCAATATTTGACCACAATAAGGAAATAGATTAATTGAATATATTTCACTTATTAAGTGATAATAGGATAAATAGTATTGGTGCATGAATGAACCGCTATTGCTTATTCTTGATGTAAGTGGTATCTCAAATGTGGATGAATGCATTCTGTTAAGAGGTACAGTAACAGCTACATTCAAATTTCATTGTTACATAAAAACAACAAACAATTTTGCTTTTGGTGTATCTATAATCAGTCGAAATATTCGTTTTATAGCATTGTAGTCAACGTGCACGTCGAAAGATTTCAGCTGTTATTAAATGTTTCAGGATTTTAAGAAGAACATAAATATATATTCAGTTGTAATAACACATTGCTTTGTTTTTCATATAGTTCTGCTTTTTCAATTGTGGATATTTTCATAAGCAGAATGAATACTCAAAACAATCAGCTTTGTCAGAGAAAACAACATATTTCGCAAAAAGAGAAGAATTATCACCTTAACGGTAATTACATTTTAATACTAAGAAAAACATTACCTCAGTGAAACAGAGTATAACATATCGTCGTCATATACCTATCCTTTCCCGTGTGCATGATGCATGTGATTGAAAGTCATGCATGACACCATGTTCATTGAAGTATCTTCATTACAAATGCATGGATTGCAAACGACATCATGAATTCTGTCGGATATAAGAAACGCTTTCACAAGTAAAATTGCTTTTCTCAGACACTTATACACAGTAAATGATCGCTGGCATGATATAGATATGGAGGTTTTTGTGATATCAATGTTCACCGATATGTGATTCCTGCACTGTATGGTTTTATTCCATAATATTACAGACCTATGTGACTTCTGTGATGTTTTTAAGCAGTGCGTAAGGTTCCCTGCCTGCAAACACTACTGGGACATATGCAAATGTGAAGGTATTTGAAGCTTTAAGTGCTAATATTACGCAAACACAATGCTGTTTCATAGCGCATGTCATATTCATTAATAAAGCTGCTTAAATTCAAAGCCTACAATATGTTCGCATGATTCATTCCTAGCCTCATATTGTATTTGTTTCGTGTAATTTGGAACTATAAAAATCTTTGTTCAGTTGTAATAATGATAAAGAAGTATATGAAATGGTTTACATTACATTTAACAACCTATTACAAAGCATATTTTAATTTTAAGAAATGAATGTAAAAAAATATTGAATGTATCATGAAGTTACTTTTTGAACATTTCTAAGCTATTCCCCCAGACATCCAATGTGGCGTTGCTGAATCTCCCCCGATACCTCGGATATCCACCTACATCGTTGGTGGAAAGGACGTCGGCGATTGCGAGTTGCCATGGACCGTTGCATTGTTCATCAAGGGTTCCCTGCGTTGTGGCGGCGCCATCTTCGACGACCGGCACATCATCAGTGCAGCTCATTGCCTCATGTTAGTGCAGCTACCTTAACTCGAGTGAAAGGGTGAATGAGAGGATATGTATGTTTTCAGGACACAAGTATCATTTGGGAATCAAAACTATGCCAACATGGATAATTAAAGACGTGAGCCAAAGCTTAAGTCAGCAAGCTCGCTCACTATTCGTGAAATATAATGTAACAAATTATGATGTTCTACTGTTTGGTTCACGAGATAACCTCAATGTTGACGTTTTTTGTGAAAATACCTGTAAGAAATTATGATATACGCATGAAATATCAGCTGTTTGAATCACAAAGCTACCTCGATGTTACAAATACAATGGACTCTTGAACAGTATAAACTGTTTGAATCCCCAAGCTACCGCGATCTTACAAATATTCTTGAAATGAGCAGTAACGCATGAAGTATAAACTGTTTGAATCACAAAGCTACCTCGATCTTACAAATATTCTTGAAATGAGCAGTAACGCATGAAGTATAAACTGTTTGAATCACAAAGCTACCTCGATCTTACAAATATTCTTGAAATGAGCAGTAACGCATGAAGTATAAACTGTTTGAATCACAAAGCTACCTCGATCTTACAAATATTCTTGAAATGAGCAGTAACGCATGAAGTATAAACTGTTTGAATCACAAAGCTACCTCGATCTTACAAATATTCTTGAAATGAGCAGTAACGCATGAAGTATAAACTGTTTGAATCACAAAGCTACCTCGATCTTACAAATATTCTTGAAATGAGCAGTAACGCATGAAGTATACACAGTTTGAATCACAAAGCTACCTCGATCTTACAAATATTGTAATGCATGAAGTACAAACAGTGTGAATCACCAAGCCACCTCGATCTTACACCTATTCTTGAAATATGCTGTAACAAATTATGTTAAACGCATGAAGTATAAACTGTTTTAATCACCAAACTACCTCGATGTTACAAACCTTCGTGACATATGCTGAAATGCATCATGCTATACACATTATGCTATATAAACTTTTTTTAATGGGCAGTCAGGAGAACATTTCCTATGATACTGACAGACACATTTATATCGCTTGGTTCAACCAGGCATGTAACAATAATGTAGCAGCAATTGAAACTTGATTTATTAAGAATATATTACTTCATATCGAATCATATTGTTGATATTCAAGAACGGATATATATACCGAGAGAGATCTGTTATTTGTTTCCAGGGTATACACTAGATATGAATTATACATATATAATATTTACATGGTTTATCTTCAAAAAGGGGATTAACGAATCCGAAAGATGTGGTTGTGGGGCTTGGATCCAAAGACAGACGTCGAACACGGAATGCTACAGTGTCAGCCTTCAGTAGGCACCCACAGCACCATTCAGGTGAGACATATCCTTCAATATTTCTTCATCGATATTTTTTACTACAAGGTTTATGTCTGTCAACACTGCAGGGACGTTACTGAATCTCGACATAGGAACGACCAATGCATTGTTCTTTGTTATAAACTGGTGTGTCACAGTTCATACTTCTCGAGTGGTTGGTATCTTCTCTACCAAAATATTTCTTCTGCTGGTTTATGTTTGAGAATATTCCCCTTTCCAAGTTGATTAGAATTAGGACATGCTTGAAAATGTGCCTTCCTGGAAAAGACTAGCCAAACACAGACAGTAGTCTTTCTAATAGACCTCTGAATGTATCCAATGAGTGTTAACATTACAAGCATTGCTACACCAGAATGAAAATATACATCCGAAACAGAAGTCGTGACTTTTAAATTTCCGGAACATATATACTAGTAAATCTGGAATGTCGAAGTTAGTTGTGTGCTTTATAATTAGCTCAAAACTTCATTTTTCATGTGAGCAATAACTATGATCTTTTCCAGATGTCAATGATATTGCTATTCTAAGACTGGAAGAACCCATCAAGTTTGATAAATGTATACGGCCTATTTGCCTTCCACCACAAGACCATCAGTACAAAGCGAATCAGACGTGCATTGTTGCTGGATGGGGACTTACATCAGGTACGTGTCTTTCCAAGCCCGTAAACCCTGACAATCTGGGATAGAATATGGTTTTCAGCAACCCATGCCTGTTGTAAGAGGCGACTATCGGTATCAAGTGGCTAGGCTAATTGACCCCACATGTCATCGAAATCCCTATTTTTTAATTTTTAAACATTTATTTCCGCACTCAGGAGACCTCAGGCCTATAGAACAAATACAATGACAATTGATCAGTTAGTAGAATTTTTAAGAATTGTATTTTTTCTGTATGTGGTAGCGTAATAGATATACTTAGATAACCTTTCTAAATGTACTTTGGTAGAATTGGTTAAAAGGGATATGAATTTGTAAATGTCAGGATGTACATAGTAGTAGCTCTTAATATACTTATTTCTCAACATATGATAGGTTGGACATATACAAAGAAAATGGTACTCGTCTTCAATTACATTCAGATTACACAGTTTACATATCCTATGTTCTTTTGTTAAGCCTAAATACCTAGCAGATTCTATTAGTAAGTCATGAGATGAACAGCGGAATTGCGCAAGGCATATTCTGAATTTTCTTACGTTTACCACAGACAGATACTGTTCTTTGTTGATAGATTGTTTAATCAATTTATAGTAAAACATTTGCTAGAAAGAGATACGTTTGCACTCCAGTTTTGAATGTACATATCTTTAAGTCGTTGTTTAACAGATAGCAGGAATAACGAGTGAGATTTAATATGCTGTTCATACAATGCATTACCAAATCCAACAGAAAATAACAATTATTTTACGTTTGTAACCCAATTCCTTTTCCCATTTGTATCATAAATAATCATCATATTATAACATTTTTGCTTGGAGCCATACTCAATAATTTTAACCAATATTTGATAACTTTCACATTTGCTTCAATATATAAGGGGAATCTACCACACTCGCCATACACTGCTGAATTACATGTATTAATTTTACCCCAAGATATTTCTTACAAGCATACAAATGAACTTTTTTTATGGCATCGGAGGCTTTGATTCCCCTGATCTACGCGCCATACAAAATGATGGGGCATATTTTAGCATCAAAGATCTTGAAGAAAGAGTTGTATGAGAAGTCTCCAAGTGTTTTTATATATTTCATAATCCCTATTAAGATCTTTTTGCCTTGCAATGAGGCTTGAATTGCATGCATGGACTATGAAAGGTGGTTTGTATGTCATCGAAATCCCTATTGCTTAGGGGGCGATGGGGTAGCCTAGTGGTTAAAGCGTTAGCTTGTCACGCCGAAGACCCGGGTTCGATTCCCCACATGGGTACAATGTTCGAAGCCCATTTCTGGTGTCCCATGCCGTGATATTGCTGGAATATTGCTAAAAGCGGCGTTAAGCAATACTCATTCACTCCTATTGCGTAGATCGATACTCATGATGTTGATGACTGGATTGTCTGAACCAGACTTGATTATAGACCGCCGTCATGCAGCTGGAAAATGGCTGACTGCGGCTTAAAACAAAAACAACAAACAACATTCAAGCTCGTGATAGGAAGTGCATCTGGGAAAGCTTGTACTTCAACCGCAGAATCTGGCTGTGTGTAAATGGACATATTCTGGTGTTGTATAAAGTATCTTTTATTCAATATAAATAACACTAACAATTAATTTATTGTTGTTACCAAGCGAGAACTGAGATTATGAATGTTCCAACATGCGTGTTCATTGACTTCTATTGCCACAGCCAGATGTTTTCTTCGTAACGGCTGAAACGTGTCACACGGTGTTTCAGAGACGAGGCTGTTCCAGCCGTTCAAGCTGCAGAAGGTTAAGGTGCCGCTGGTGGATCTGGAGACGTGCCAGACAGCATACAACGTGTTGGACACACAACTCTGCGCAGGATACTTTGTCAAAGGAGGAAAAGATTCCTGTAATGTAAGTTGTTTGAGGTTTAGGTTCTAGAAATGTATGAGGGAGGGTTTTGTCAGAAACAGGTTCAGGGAAGAAGTCAGGATCATTCTGATGCTTTCATTTGTGGTGGGTAGCCCAGTGGTAAAAGCGTTCGCTCCTCACGCTGAAGATCCGGGTTCGATTCCCCACATGTGTACAATGTGTGAAGCCCATTTCCGGTGTCTCTGCCGTGATATTACTGGAATATTGCTAAAAGTGGCGTAAAACCATACTCACTCATTTGTGCATGGCGATAGTCAAGAAAATGTTTCCAACCGATCCACAAAAGATACTTCTTTTTCAGACTGATTCCGGAGGTCCTCTGATTTGCGACTATAATGACCGATGGACTCTGATTGGAGTTGTGTCAAGTGGTGTTGGATGTGCTAGGCCCATGCTTCCTGGAAAATATACAAGGGTGTCAAAATATATCTCTTGGATTAACTATGTAACATCAGTGAGGAAACCATATCACTACTGAAGAAACGGACAGTGCTTGAATAATAGAATAAACATTTGCAATACCATTTTTATAAATGTTTATATTGCATTTTTTGTCACTATATGCCTTAAGCCATACCCATGGGGTAAAGGATGTGGGTGTGGGTGTAGCCTGGGATGTGGGTGTGAGGTAGCCGGGGATGTGGGTGTGAGGTAGCCGGGGATGTGGGCGTGGCTGTAGCCTGGGAGGTGGGTGTGGGTGTAGCCTGGGGTGTGGGTGTGGGTGTAGCCTGGGGTGTGGGTGTGAGGTAGCCTGGGGTGTGGGTGTGGGTGTAGCCTGGGATGCCTGTGAAGTAGCCTGGGATGAGGGGTGTGGGTGTAGCCTGGGGTGTGTGGGTGTGTAGGGTGTGGGAGTGGGTGTAGCCTTGGATGAGGTGAGGTAGCCTGGGGTGTTGGTGTAGCCTGGGGTGTGGGGTGTAGGTGTAGCCTTGGATGAGGGGTGTGGGGTAGCCTGGGGTGTGTGTGTGGGTGTAGCGGGGTTGTGGGTGTGAGATAGACTGGGATGTGGGTGTGAGGTAGCCTGGGATGTGGGGTGGGTGTGGGTGTAGCCTGGGTTGTGGGTGTGGTTGTAGCCTGGGATGAGGGTGTGAGGTAGTCTGGGTGTGTGGGTGTGGGTGTAGTCTTGGATGTGGGTGTGGGTGTAGTCTGGGATTTGGGTGTGGGCGTAACCTGGGATGAGGGTGTGAGGTAGTCTGGGGGTGTGGGTGTGGGTGTAGCCTGGGTTGAGGGTGTGAGGTAGTCTGGGGGTGTGGGTGTGGGTGTAGTCTTGGATGTGGGTGTGAAGTAGCCTGGGATGTGGGTCTGGGTGTAGCCTGGGATGTGGGGTAGCCTGGGGTGTAGGGGTAGCCTGAGGTGTGGGGGTAGCCTGGGATGTGGGGTAGCCTGGGGTGTAGGGGTAGCCTGGGATATGGGTGAGGGTGTAGCCTGTGATGTTGATGTGGGGGTAGCCTGGGGTGTGGGGGTAGCCTGAGGTGTGGGGGTAGCCTGGGATGCGGGTGTTGGTGTAGCCTGTGATGTTGATGTGGGGGTAGCCTGGGGTGTGGGTGTTGGTGTAGCCTGTGATGTTGATGTTGGGGTAGCCTGGGGTGTGGGTGTTGGTGTAGCCTGTGATGTTGATGTGGGGGTAGCCTGGGGTGTGGGTGTTGGTGTAGCCTGTGATGTTGATGTGGGGGTAGCCTGGGATGTGTTGGTGTTGGTGTAGCCTGTGATGTTGATGTGGGGGTAGCCTGGGGTGTGGGTGTTGGTGTAGCCTGTGATGTTGATGTGGGGGTAGCCTGGGATGTGGGTGTTGGTGTAGCCTGTGATGTTGATGTGGGGGTAGCCTGTGGGTTGTGGGTGTTGGTGTAGCCTGTGATGTTGATGTGGGGTAGCCTGGGATGTGGGTGTGTAGCCTGTAGCCTGGGGTGTGGGGGTAGCCTGAGGTGTTGGTGTGGGTGTAGCCTGGGATGTTGATGTGGGGTAGGGGGTGTGGGTGTAGCCTGGAATGTGGACCATGGGATAGTCTTGGATGGGAATATGGACTGGGATTGGGATGGGGAAGTGGTTGGTCTGTTGTCTATTGGCTGAAAAATGAAAGATTTGTTGGAAGGAATATATAAAAAAACAAACACATATTAACATGAAATACATCCTGAAATGTAGAAAAAAGCGTCTACCAACTTTTCGTGCTATGTTACAAAAATGTCATTGAAAGAACTGTTTTTAATTTTGGATTTAATATTTTCTGTTCAACCATCCCTCGTTCCTGCTCGGCATAGTTTTCGTATTGAATCGAATTTTGCAATACTCAATCCCTACCATGTGTAAATTTGTGCAAACAAGACATTTGATTCTATTTTAAAGTTTTTTTTAAAAAGATATAAATCCCTACAGAAGAATTCATTGGATGCTGTCTAAGCGTCTACACAGCTCTTTGTTTGGATATGTACATGTAGAAACACGGTTTAGAATATAGGCAGAAGGTTTAGGAAATTAACAAGGAGTTAAGTGGAAGCGGTTGTGGAATTGTGTAATATTCATAACAGTTTATCTAAAGTTTTTATCGGTAGTGTATTTAATGCAAATTCCTAACATAAACACTTATCTTTAGATGAAGGCTTTTACTGACAGAATGTTGTGATTACACGATTTACCTGGAATGTTATACCACCGTAAACTCGTATTAAGTATGCTACACACACACACACACACACACACACACACGCACGCACGCACGCACGCACACGCACGCACACGCACACACACGCACACGCACGCACGCACACGCACGCACGCACGCACGCACGCACACGCACACGCACACACACACTCACGCACACACACACGCACGCATGCAAGCACGGTCACGCGCGCGCACATGTCAGATATATGACACAGACGCATATATGCACGTAATATAAAATGAAGACAGTCAGACTCTCACCTATACACACACTGACGCATGCACACTTAAAACGCGTGAATGCTGACACACACATAAGTGCTGACACACAATACACAGATACACACATACATTGTTCCCAAAAGAGTCGTATTATTTTAGGCTCCGATTCCATAAATTCCCAATTTCGAATTAAAATTGTCCCAATTTCTGTTTTATTGACTTGCCTTTGTATGTGTGTGTGATGTGCGTCGCAGGTGGGACATGATATGCTCACCATTTCTCAGGTCCGAATCGTCCAATGGTGATTTCTCAGGAATATGATATTAATCTGTTTTAATAGTCAAAACTTCAGCTTTGTAGAGCTGGCTCGTATTTCGTCGATAAACAGACAAACAGGAAAGATACCCACATAAGTAGGGATTCTAGAAACGAAACAAAAGGAAACAAAATGCAATACTCACTCACTCGACTAGTACACTATCACCTGTGCTAACACATTTAAATGTACATCTACATAAAAGCGATAAAAAGATTGTGTTTGATGTTTGTTTCGTGAAATGGTCACAATTGTAAAATGAAGAAGTTGTTTGATCAAGGTTACAAACATTCAAGTCCTCAGTAAAGCTTTCAAGAAGTTTATGGTAGACATGTTTAGGAATTTTCCAAATTTGATGCATCAGTGACAAAATGATGTCCGATGCAATTCCCTATTTTGACTTATACCATACCTTTCCAAATTATTTCAGGTGAACAATTGACTTAGCATGTGTTTATGACGGGTACCATCGGTGGAGCAGAATACGGTCACCTTTTCGCGAACACCTGGTAGCATCACTATTTCATAGTGATTCATAAACACATGCTCTGTTGTATCGCATTGTGACAATCACTGGATTGTTTGGTCCAGACACGATTTGGTTTCAAATAACATTGTACAGCTGTAATACTGCTGAAACAAATATATATTCATGATATAGTCACAATTGTACAATCGACTCTGCTTTTAGCAGACATTTCTTAATGGATGTGGAAAAGGTTCTGTCGCCTCTGTTCATTATACCTCAATTAATACTATCGTCCAGTCACAGTGATAAACATCCATTTTCGTTTGAAGTCGCTTCAGCAGTGAAATATTTCGATAGTGACTTCATCCATTGGTGACATCAAAACAGACAAACATCCTGTTGTTTATCGAGCGCACACCTGTTTGACCTTCATGTGGCTCGCCTATTGTAGTAATACATTTGTCCTGGTCCATCTTCACGTCCTTGATTACAAACTGTTGTCAAACGAAGTATCAAGTAATCGTTGTTCAATGGTAGATATGATCATCGTTATTTTCAACAACGTCTTGCTTTATATATTTCTGAATAAAACCGTGTGGTGAATTAGCTTTCTTCATTTGAAATCGAGTCATGAGTTGGTGTGAGGGGAATAGCGTCTGGAGTCTCTGGTGGCGAATTAGTGTGTTTGCTCTGTGTTTCCTGACGCTGGTGAGATGCAGCCACGGTCAAAAAAGTAAGTGTGAGCAAGATCTTGTCAAATATTTGACAAGTTTTCTGAAAAATAAATGTGTCAGGTAAGTTTAAACCACGGTTAACCCTTGAACGGTATAACTTACCTTGCTACATTCATGTTACTAATGTTTCAATAACATCAAACAAGTCAGTTGCATACTAATCTAAAGAAATTACTATGGAACGCATGATATTAATTACAGTAATATTAACGAATTAGATCCTTAGATTCTTTGGAGCAGTTTGATATTGCTGGATCGTGTGGTTAATCAGTGGAAAACATGTGAGAATGTATCATGATTGATTGTTTGTTGTTTTACGCCGCACTCAGCAATATTCCAGCTATATGGCGGTCGTCTGTAAATAATCGAGTCTGGACCAGACAATCCAGTGATCAACATCATGAACATCAATCTACGCAATTGGGATACGCTGACATATGCCAATCAAGTCAGCGAGCCTGACCACCCGATCCCGTTAGGCGCCTCTTACGACAATCATGCAGAAGATCATTTCTAACCCGGATCTTCACGGGTCGTAAATGTACAGTATCAATTAATTTAATTGATAATAGAGCAGATAGTTTACATAATGTAGCGCGTGTCTTTACTTAATATGACTTGTGGCTTTACATAATGTAACGCGTGTGTTTACTTAATATGACTTGTGGCTTTACATAATGTGACACGTGTCTTTACTTAATATGACTTGTGACTTTACATAATGTAACGCGTGTCTTTACCTAATATGACTTGTGGCTTTACATAATGTGACACGTGTCTTTACTTAATATGACTTGTGGCTTTACATAATGTGACGCATGTCTTTACTTAATATGATCTGTGGCTTTACATAATGTGACGCATGTCTTTACCTAACATAACACGTATCGTTACTCAATATAATTCAATATCCTTACTGAATATGTCTATATTTAATATGACGTGGTGCCGTTTGCTTTTCCACATTATGACCTGTACGTAGAGTTTTCACACGGTACTTGCTGGACTATGTGATGTGTAAGGGCCAGTTGATACAGATAGAGCAGAACAGGCATAACCTTTTCGAGAGCACCTGCTGACATCACCATGTTTCAGTGACTCACTAGTAAAATTTATATCGTATTATTTGACTAAACATTGTCATTTAGAAAGTGGTCAAATATAACATATGTTAAGTTTTGTAATACCAGTGGAAGCTGCATTGGCTGAGTGGGTTAGACGGCTGACTGTGTGTGCTGGAGATTAGGTGCCTGAGTCTGCAGGCGTGGGTTCGAATCCCGGATGGGACCCAGCCAAACAAAAGTACCAAAACCTGCACTTTACTGAGAAAGTGTAATCCCACATATAGCATGTTTTACGTTGCATCACTTGTTTCAATTTTACCTTCTACCTTGTAGATATCAGTGTTCTTTCTTATTTGGCATCTTAAGAAATACCGTTCGTTTAATGGGCATTTAGGCTCAATTGGTAACCCTATCAAATCAACCTCAAACAACGCTTGCCTGGTCTGCCAGCTCAAATCTCACAGAGATATCACGGGATGTATTACACTGTTCAGAGCTTTTCATAAATTTGCACCATGCTGTGGGGCCAGATCCCCTGCGATTAATATTATATTTATTTACAAAAGCACATAGATTTCTCAGTAAGATTTGTTTTATGGGGAAGTTACATCTCTTATTTGTACATTTTCGTGACCCAGACAGATGTGGAGAGCACTGTCCGTACTTCCGCCAGTGTTTCCCTACGTCACAGGTGTGCCGGCTACTGTACAGATACTGTCAATGTGGACCTCTACCTGACGGTAAAAACTGAAATTCTACGTATACTTGTATCTGTTTATGACCCGTGAAGATCCGGGTTGGAATTGATCTTCTGCAATTGGTCTTCATTAACCCATGCTTGTCGTAAGAGGCGACTAATGGGATCAGGGGTCAGGCTCGATGACTTGGATGACACATGTCATCGTATCCCACATGCGAAGATCGATGCTCATGATGTTGATCACTGGATTGTCTGGTCCAGACTCGATTATTTACAGACCGCCGCCATATAGCTGGAATATTGCTGAGTGCGGAGTAAAACTAAACTCACTCATTCACTGTATCTATTTATAAGTTGCTATGTAGACCTGTTTATCGTTGATGCAAGATGCTTAATGTTTAGTTATATCCCAAATGAATTTATTGTTATGTCTGATGCCAGTTGAAAAATGGAAACATATATATGATCTCCTTTACGTTAAAGACAGGAGTTTTAATTTACTTTGTAATTACAGCTGCAATTATTTTCACATAAGGACAAAGAAATCAAATTAATTTAAAAAGACCCAAAAGAAACAATAACAAAAAGATACGACGTGACATTAATCTGAAAGGAACACACGACGTGACATAATGCTGAAGTTTCGACTTTTCCTTAAATTAATTTAATGAGACGAATGTTTACTTTGTGTTTTATTAGTCATTTGATACCTCGATTAAATACATTTTTCAGAGTATACAAAATAGTTCAACAATTACTACATGTAAGTTTGCATATAAATCATGAAACGTGTACATGAAATTATCAATATATGTGTGCACAGAAGGC